TCTTCATACAGGAGAAATTTCATATAAAAATGTTCCTTCAAAAGCAAGATACAATCGTTTTTCCTTACTCAAGCAAACGTAAAATACTGGTAAAATACTGCGAAAATATTGAGATACGGTAACATGCTAAGTCTGCGCTACTACTTGAATCGCAAGAGGAGGCGATAAGAATGTATATGTTTGATGGCTTAAGCCTTGTAATCTACATTAAAGTGATTTGAACCTGATTGGTCTTCTCTAGCCTGAGATATTGAAAACGAAAATTGGAACAAACGAGATTTTGGCTTGCTCTCAATTCCTTAGTTTGGAGGTCATGTGAAGTAGGAATCCTAATGTGAGCAAAGAAATAGTAGTTTGTATTGAGCGCAAAAAAGTAGTTGACTTACCTTTGAAACAAAGTAACATGTTTGAAAACGACCATCTCACATAGGTGGTCCTGTATTTGAAAACCTCAGCATTCGCTAAAACTTGGACCACAAGGGTTATTCTTCTTGCTAATTACAAAACAATGTTCTTGCACTTTATAGATCTTTGATTATGCTTACTGTACGTATAAGATAATGGATCAAATATCAATGTACTTACTTTGCATGACGGGCCTATTTGACATCGTTAACGAATATCATGTTAAGCGAACAGCGGATGCCTTGATAACGACCCTCCCCCTCCCAGATTCCTCAATATGAACCCCAGGTGTGGCATGCCACACCCCAGGTTGACCCTGGACATGACGGTGTAGGCCCTTTTGAACCGTACGCGCTCGATGCCATCGCCGGCTCCGCTATATACGCTGACGAGTTATTTCACGTGCTTCGCGGAGACGTATCTTGGTTCGAAGCGCGTAGTAAAGCTGTGCCAACACTCATACTCATGCTAAATGTAAAAAGAAAATGAACTAACAAAGCGTATCCAGTCGAGGTGGCCTTTTCAGATGACACCTATAATGCTTTGAATAGGCTCAGTGATTCCAAATCTGCCTTCATTATCTGCCAGGCACCTCTGGACGCCGATTCATGGGCGTTTCAGGTCAAAAAAGAGATCGCAAAACTGAAAGAAAGTCGCCCAAACTTGATCTAATGGCCCAGATTTGGAGCCATCGTGCAATGCTCTTCACAGTGTGGGTCTCATTTGAGAACGACCTTTACAAAAAACGCTTTTTATGTAAGTTGCTTACGGGCACCACTCGTTCTGTCCTCCGCCTTTCTCCTCCTTGCTTAAAGCTGGCCCATCATAGCTGGCGGCCTAACCAATCGGAGACGCGCCGTTATGGCCGGCGATTCAAAAAGGTTGCCCAACTGTGTCATTACATGCTCCAACACGATCTCACAGAGCGCAAAAATTCAGAATTGTGCCCTCATCGAAGAAATGCCTCGTTTACAACGTAATAATATGAGTCCAAATTGTGCAACTGCGCTTGGAGAAACTCGAACTATAGCTAAGAAGTTCAAAGAAAACTAAAGTGAATGTGAATGATAATTGTGGCAAATTTCTTTCAAATAAGTCGAAATCGTTCCAGTCGGGTGCCAGCTGACCTCCACTCATATGTGTTTTTCGTAGTTTTTACATAAATCTTCGCTGTCTATCAAAAGCTTGCGTACTTGCACAAAAAATTTTAAACTCCTTCCTTCCGTTATATCATAGCACGTAAACAATTTTCAATGGTAGCACAATCCTCCTCCGATCGCAAAGCACGCAACGCACGAACATATTTAAGATTCATGCTTATTTGCCTTGCATCTATCATAGATTAATATGATCGCTTATTCCTGGAGTGCGGTCTGCTATTTACTTCAAAAAGTAGTGAGGGGATTGAAGTAGCCGAGGGAGACGTAGAAAATGTGCGAACTCGAAGAGGGACCTATTGCAAAACTCCCCAATTTCAGCCCATACGAAGGGCCTGAGGTAAAGAGGTGAATCAAATACACAGGGAGAAAAATCGAACCGCCTGCGGTATTTGCTAAGCAGTAAGCTTAAGCTTAAGCTCGTAAGCTTTCGCAACACAGGAGAAAGTTCCGAGTAAGCAAATTGAAATAGAGTCGGTACTCTAATATAAGACCAACCCAGGCAAAAGTACCGGACGAGCGGTGCGCAGCACAAGAGTTCCGGACGAGTGGCTGCATTCAGCGCGTCTGTCACCGGATGAGCGGCCTGCAATCCGGGATCACCGAGCGAGTGGTCACAAACGCCGGTTCAGTGGCCATCAAACAACCAGCTGGGCGGTAGATACCAGACGAGCGCTTACAACCACCGTTCGAGCGGCATCATTGACCGCGCGGGGGTCTACAGTCGAAGTGCGCGAGATTAAGCTGTTCAAAATTGATGGCTACCTCATGTTTCGACATGATCAAAATCTCATTTCATCATCTTTGGATACAAATGCATTATTTATTTCATTGAAGTCGGAATTAAATCGGCATGTCAAATGAGAGGAGCTTTAGCCGTATAAACCAACGCTGCTATGGATGTAAGTTTTCACTTTATTTTTCCAGTCTTCTTGTTCTCTTCTGAGTCTTTCTTGGCAAACAATAACGTTTGATTTCGGTCACAATCATAAAAAATTCAAAGTCGGAGAAAATGCATTTCTTTCTGCTATATCCGTAGAACATAAAATTTTTGATAGATTTTTTGTGTTACAAAAAAATTGAAGATCTTTATTTCTTTGGATTAGTAAGTCACCCGTCAACTTCCATTTGCTTACGCTAACTGACCAATATATTGATACCAGATTTGGAGTGAGATTCAATGCGCCACGTTTGATCGTTTGTCATGAATGGTAGAAGTAGATGAACGTAAATGGTTACCTCAAGAACACGAAAATCTGACAATGGACAACTGCACATGTAAATGGACACTAAACGGACCTTCACCATTTGTAATTGTAAGCATTATAACGAAGCAGGAAAACACAGCTGTTTTCAAGGTTCTAAGTCGGACGATAACTTTTAATCAAAGGATTCTGATACATCTTCCAAAATGTTCACGAGCTTTTGCAGATATTTGCTTCCAAACGTATCCATAAGCTGTAACTTGTCTGTTCTCGCAGTATCATTAACACAGGTCACGGAACCAGCGCAATGCATTCAAGATTATTCGCTGAGGCTGAATGGAAAGAGTGGTCACTTAAACTAAAATCGTTGATTACGGCTTTCTGATTGAAACTGTGTCGAAGACGCGATCGGCTACAGTCATTCAGCTAGAAAACTGCGGCCATCAAGGCTGATGGATCAAGGTTAAGCTACTTAGAGCATAGCTTTAGAATGTCATATTTCGACGTATTTTTCAGTTTTTTGCGAGATTAGGGGAGAAAACCGAGGAACGTCCAGAGGCCTTTGATATGCTCATACTTACGGCAGAACAATCATCCTGCGTTTAGGTGTGACATAGGCGCTCACGGATACGATATAGAGAATAAAAAGTGGAAGGCTAGTGATGTAAGTTGTTTGTTAAAAAAAGTAGTCTATTAGGGCATTAAGTCTTTCAGACAAAAAAGGAACCGACGGGACCCTTAATGTATGCTGAAAAGAGGCTAACATGAAATTGCTATTGCATCGTCTAATCTGTGATCACTAAAGTGCTCGCTATTTGTTGTGTTCTTGGGCTTTTGTTCTCGTTTGTTTGATATATGAGAATAAGTTACTATTGATAAAATATAGCTAAATTCAAATGATTTTGCTCTCATACTAATTAAGAATTCACAAACAAGAAGAGCCTGCTTTCGAAGGAGTGGCCACAGTTCTGGACCGTCCTCCACAATGAAAGGGCTTTAAGCCAGAAACTCCACGTGAGCAGTCATTAAGACAGGGTGAAAATCTGTAACGACCGGCGAGTGGACTGCGGGAGAATGCTGGCAGAAGAGCGCCCACAATGACCGGGCGAGCGGTCACCGATACCAGTCGGACGCACGCTTTACCGGACTAGCCGAAAAAGTTGAATCACTCTATCGTTTTTTGTGATCACTCGTCCGGTTTTTGCGTGAAAACGTAATTTTTCATTTGCATGTATTTCTCACCTTCGCACAATTTTCAGTGTGCTTGCAAGCGAGTGTAGCGTAGAACAAAGCCTGCATTACCATTTTATGCATCTTACGCTGTACTCTATCTGTTTATGTAGTTTTGACTTTTTAATTATTATCGAAAACATTTGAATGTTTGAAAAGTTTTTCTAATCAAACTCTACGACTAACGCTCGTGAAAAAAGACTCTGCGAAGTCTATGAAGGGTATTGTTTAGAATGCTTGCGGGAGATTGATAAAGAACCTTCGCTTCACTTTGGACATCCGCATCTTTTTTCCCAAGAAAGGGATTTCAGGAAGGTAAAACTGTTTAAATCTACATACATGTAGTGACTGTTGAGCAAGCAGATTTGATTTTGATTGATTATGTTGTTACTGTTGATTTTGTGTAAATAAGTTACCTGGTTTCGTAGTTATGATTGGAACATCTTGTCTAAGGACTTTCCCATCTTTATAGAATCTCCGTTTTTCTCCTACTGCTTCTGTCTGACTCTCCTGTCTCAATTTCATCCGTTCACTCACTGTTCGCTGTAAATCATATTGAAGCTTTATCAACCGAATAGCATCCCTATCATTGAAGAGACTGCTTTTCCAAAATATTTTAATGCCAACTCATGCCGGGGCTGTTTGCGGTATTTCGAGCTCAGTTGAAGTGCTTTTGCAGGAATTTTTCATCAGAGTCATCCATTTTCGTAGATAAATTTTTCTGTAGAGCTAAGGCAAAGCGGTTCCATCTGCAGTTGGAAGTTTATAAAGAGATAGGAAAGGAGCTGTAATAAAAGTATGCATTCGATTCAGAAAGACGCTGCTACCAACCGATTCAAATTCAGTCAAGAGGCTTGAGATCTTTTTAGTCTTGCTTCGGAGCAAAGTCCGAAAATTACAGCAGTTGAATTTATGTCCAGTTGCTTATCTCTTACGTATCAATAAGCTGAATACCAAGTAACCATTCACTTTTTTCATTGGTTCGTTTCATTTATGCTCAAGTGACCATCAACAGCAGTCTCACAGTCATGGATCGTTTGGAGTTCAGCAGCGGCTTTACTGATCTAGTGAGAATCAGAACCATGTTGCACCAAAACAGGAGATGGGGTCTTCTAGTCTTGTGTGACTGCCGAAGAGTTTGATGATCCATCATGTGGTTTCATGCGTTTTCAACTGTCCGTGGACGATGTGGCTCTCGAGGAATATCGCATCGGAGCTGGACGAAGCCAATTCGAGTATGAGCAGTTCAGCTTCACTGCAAGCCAGATTAGAAAGGTGAGGTGTAACTCGTTTATGTGACTGCGTGACTAACTTAGGGAAGGTTGCTAAATGAACCAAAAACTTTATAGAGTTACTCCATTCTAACAAAAAGCAACTGACATGATAGCGCAACTCATTTCCTATGAATGCTCGTAGACGGGAGAAAAACGAATGTCTGGCTCTGCGAAGTCTTGTTGAGGACCTGTACCTGACATTGTGGGGACTACTAACTCCATGTTATAATTGACTGAGACGAGCGCTTCAAAATCGTTGCTCATCAGCAGGCTTGGTGGTAAAAGCATAATGATCTCAAAAGAGTACATTTTAGCTTTGAGATCAATTTCTTTAGAATCACTCATAACTGCCGCTTAGACGTCATTTAAGTTGAACTCATAAGTAAACCAATGCAATTGAGTCGTAAGTGCTATATCTTGGATGTAATCATAGATATAGCAGCTGAGTAGAGACAAGCAAGTTAAGTAAACTGGGTCGTTTTTGATGGTAGTCAGGCTGTAGAGCCAGTCTGCTGAGGAGACTGCATTGTATGATTCATTGAGTGAATGGTATCTTGTTTTGAATTTGCATTAATGCGATCATGCACTCAAAACAGAGCGGTCAATTCATTTGAGTTCAATTTCTTGGCAATCACTTTCATCTTCCAAGGAACCGTCAGCACCAACAAAAGAATTACTTCTGTAATTCCTGAACTGACTTACATCTTAAGGATGACAGCCGGTTTGTTGTTCTAAATTGCACTACGGCACCCAACTATGAATGGATTCTGAACACTCAAATGCGGATCAAAACAGGAACAATAGGGGCTGAAGTACTGAAAGTGGTTGATAAGGTAATTACAATTTGTCAAATGGTATTCATAAGGGATTCCAAGAGATTTGCTTTTAGGATGTCTTCGAATTTTATCCAAAATGCGAACCAATCTCCATTGAAGTTATGAGTGACGCTATAGCTACGGTAAAATTTGAAATCAGAATTCTCAACAAGGTAGTGGAGATGGCTGCTTCAATACTTTTGATATAATTATGAGAACCTAGGTCATCGAACAACTTCCCACATTTGAAGAGGGTGATCTGACCATTCGCTTCGATGACGGCTCCAAGATAAAAGTCTACAGAGATATTCTTGCATTGCATTCGTCCTACATAAGTAAGTAGTAGAACTCGTTGGCGCATTGATTTTGACGTCTCTCCCCCTCCCCTCCCCCCCCCCCCCCCGAGGTTATCTTTTATCCTTTTTCAGAGAAATGCACGGAAGATTCAGCAATCACATGCGTGGAAGACTTTGCTCGAGAGCCCTTCATTGAAATGCTGTATCAAGTAGGAGAGAAATAGCTACAGTAATTTAAACAGAGCTACATTATGCTAATCCTCTTTCACGCAGATCTATCCGACATTGCGCCCGATCTACCGTAACATACGTGACTTAGCAAAAGCAGCTGTTGCATTCCAAGTCAATCCACTGATATACGTTCTGGCTAAGCATTTGGTCAACTTCAATACTAGAGCGGTTAGTAGGCATTGAAAGTGAATTCCCTGCTCAACTTTGCCTAGATGTCCCTGGAGCAGAAACTGCGAGCCGCAATTGATATGGAGTTGTGTCCTGCTATCGAAGAGCTTGTATACCGGTATATCAGCGTTATTTTTTGCTTTGGCGTTTTTGGCACAAAAAAAAACAATTTAGGGCTGCGCAAGATGGAGTGTGGAGCCATCTGATTAAACTTGGCTTTGAGCCAGAATCATTTTTTGGTCCAGAAGTGTACAGAAAAGTAGTTTGTCCTGCTATAGTTGCTGTAAGTTTTGCATTGACATCTCCAGTATTCGTTTGAAGACCTAGCCCTCTAATATTTGCAGGGTCGCCAAAACGAGTATGGTGTCCCGTTCATTCCAAGGCCATACGTTCAACCTAATTTCTTTAGTGAAGAGGTGAGCCTTTCCTTTGCAGCTATTATTTCCAGCTATTCTGTAAGTAAATTTTTCAGTCTGCAAATGACAAAAGCAACATTGGCGTACTCTTTCGCAGCACTCCATTTTACGTGAACCGAGGCATCATAGAAGTGAATGGATCCAGCAAATTCGCAAAAAATACTGATGGTACGTCAATCCTTTTACCTTGATAATCTTCAACTCTAAATTCACAGGATTTATACAAGCCTTATTCACAAAAGAGATGGAGGAACAATGTGTGAAAGCAGCTGTTGTACCAGGCGAGGTAGGTGATGAAACCAATGTTTGTACTACGTTGGTAGTGTTTCGTTCATAAGGAGGGAATGAGAGGTATTTTTTTATTAAGGGGGATGAGAGAGTACAGGGTGGGGCAAAGTCTGTTAGCCCAGCACTCTTACAGATAAAATTAGAAGGAAAGTAGCCACAAAAAGCATACATTATTCGAACTTTTACAGATACAAAGCAGATCTCAAATGCTATGATTGCCTGTATTGGCTTCAAAGCAGCCTTGGAAATCTTGGCGAGTCTGCCTGTCGTGGCACGCAGGCAGTCGAGATGAAATTCGTCTATGCCTTCATGTCAACTGCTTCTTTCACTAGGCCAATGTGCGTGTGTAGTATTATTGAGCAAGCTTTTGGGTACAGCATATTTCAAGAAGAAATTTTTGCAATGTTTAGGAAAAAATTTTTACAATTAAGTGAAGGCAGGTGTACTCGCATACTGAAAATTTGGATGCGATTGCGCGAATAGGAGCGTATATTCTTAAAAGTATTGGAAGTGCTCTATCGATCGAATATAAATAGATGCTTATATAGAGAACTCACGGGAAGAGCATAATAGCGTAAAACTTAGTAGCTGCTGCTCTCTCATAGATTTTAAATTCAATTCAAAAGCAAATGGCCGCTGGCACGCACGTAACATTCGCAAATTTTTATTTTGCGTTTTTAAAAGAATAGTTTGTGGCAAACACGACTACTAGGTGTGATAGCAAAAAGCCTCTTCTACATCGTATGCGTTAAAGTGTTATAGAATAATCACACCATCTTTAACTTCCAAATATATTGTGATTATCGAAAAATTTGATTTTCTCGCTTTGCAGAAGCATTCGTTTAATGAATCTAATTCTTACAAGAATGGCAAGCATTTTTAGCTAGGTAAAGTGTAATTTGGAGAGAGTGATTGCAGCTTTATGTGGCACAAATTTGGAAATCAAAACCATCAGTAGTTTCGTGGTTTATAACATTGCAATTTCGGCTCCCAGACTTTTGCCCCACCTTGTGTATAAGCGTCAGCTTGCCTTCTTAAAAGGTGGGAAATCAGGTTATAAAATGGATTCTGCCTATGAATAAAGAAATTCTAGGTGCTGGTATCACTCTTCTCATCCCTCTACCCACTCGGTCCCGCGATACCCATAAATTTCTTGCGAGCAGCTATCGTGTTCTGCCACGATCACGATTGGCATCACGTTCAAAGCAGACTAGAGCAGGTAAATCGAAAGGGCATTCCAAAATGAGTTCATGAACTTCCCCACAAGGATCTCCTGCAACAGCCACCAGAGACTCGCGAAGCATATCGCGATCAAATAATTTTCGCTGAAAAACTCAAACTTGCCAATATGCTTACGGTCTCCATCCAAAGAGCTGAGGGAAGGTAATCTATCACTGATCAACGTCATTGTTCTGAAAATCTGCATACGTTACAGCTGCAATAAGTTTGCAAATGAACTTATCAAGAACAACGAGTTGAGTATGATTTCTTCATCGACAAGAGATTTGATCATGGATCGTGTGTGCAGCGGTTGGGGTTTGGAGCCAAAACATGTAAACAGATTAGCGACGAGGTTATTTTTCAAACAATTTGTAGGATTTCGTATCTTGGCTGCGCAAATAGTTCGACGCTGCAGTGATGGCCACTCGCCGGCCTTCCACCGCGACGTTCGCCTGCTTGCCGGTTTCGTGCCGGCCTGGATTGGTCAAAAATTAACGAGTTTCATTGCTATCAAAATTTCTAAATTCACTTTCAGGGAGCCAACATCTTTCCGAGAACGCCAAATTGGTCTCATACGTGGTGGACCAAGAGCATTCGAAGATGAACGTAAAGCGGCTACGCTTGCAGAGATGGTGTCTGATTACTACTTTGGTCCTGTTGGGGAAATTTGCGTCGTTAACAAGTGAATGTACTTCATGCGATAATTCTTATCGAACCATCTAAATTTGGCTGTTATAACAAATGTTTTCGTTCTTTCCTGCGCAGAGATGTATGGTTTGAATGCACTCATTTTGGATGAAGTATTTGTGTGTTTGGTGTCCCGAAACATATAAAATCCAGAAAATAAGGAAACATCTGAACCTCCATTATTACGAATAGGAACAGATACGTTCGCTTTTCAGATTACTAAGTGTCCACAACATTCTATTATTTAGAAAAGTTATGAAAGTTTGGTTTCATTTTAAGGATCTAATTTTTCGTTCATATGGCTCATAACTATTGTTCATCCAACAAAATCATCGACTGTACGGCGATTTGAGAGGAAGCATCGTCCGTCTTCAGCCAAGAGGAAAGAAGCAAAGCGACATTGCTTGTGATATTCTCGGAAAAGCAGCTCCCGCAACTACACTAAAGGCTAAAGTGCCTCAAAACTTTGAATGATAAGCTTGAACATGGTCCGCTTTTTGACGTCTCTTCGGCGTTAATGGTAAGCATCTATTTGCGAAAGCATCATGAAGAGAGAGTGGTCGCCGACCAATCCAAAAATCAACAGACAGGGTAATCTGTAATCTGGAGCGCATATGCAATCGTAGCGACTGCACTAATTGTTTTCTAAGGCTAGGAGGCGGTATTTCTATGACTCTGACGTAAGTTTCGAGGCCCGCGTGCTGTAAACTTTTTTCTGAAATACTGCTTAACTCTTCTGAAATGAAAGGTACGCAAAAAGAGATTTTTGGTGATTCTTAACTGCGCACGGTCTGCGTTCTGGATGGCAAGAGTACTTTGACAGACTACCCGTTATCGAATAGATATCGTTAGAGTGCGCGATCTGCTTGGCTATATTTATTGATGAAACGCGTGCACACGCATCCAACGAGACTGTTTTGGCTGTTCTAAACATGTTGCCTACCGCCGACCGCTTTGCGCTCCAAGGGTGAGCAAAGCGATAATGGATTGAGATGTTCTTATTGCTTGGATTAAGATACCAATTTGTTTTGTTTGAGCCACCCGATCAGGGCCCGGCACGAGTCGATTTCTAGGGTTTCTGAAAACGAAGTCTCGCCTGACTTTCGGAAGTTTTACGAAGTCCCCTTTGACCTACCTGCTTAGGAGAAGAAGAAAGCAAGAAAGATTTACTAGAAAAGAAGTAAGATAAGAGTGAAAATCCAAATTGGAGCTGAATACTACGATACTTTGGCATTAGAGCGCGATATCTAAAAAACCGAAAAGAAATGAAAGCAAAAAACAAAGGAGAGGCAACGATATGAAAATGTCTTCATGCTCAGGGATAGATTTTTGATTAGGGAATCCGTCCATGCTAAAGAGATCCGAAACTTATGTGAAGTGACGAAAATATATGCTTCAGACGATCTCAGATCGTCTGGTGGCCGTCTGGAGACGATCTAATTTTGGAAAAGGTACTACTTCACATAAGTTTTTAAATCTTTTCACATAATACTTCCGCAAATAATTTTCTATACATACAGTTCAATTTGGGTGTCATAAGCTTCTGTATGCGCTGTAAACAAGCAATTTCTTTAATTAAGCCTTGCTTTCAAATCGCGCGCACTTATCGCCATGCACGATAGAGCATGTCAATCGTGTGATAGCCTGTCCAAAAAGCTTGTGTTCGACTAAACGGCGCTTATTCTGGTGCTCTGTTCGGAATCGTCAAAAACGATATCCCCTTTGCTGTTTGCCCCAAAAACGAAGTCCAGCCTGCTTCCAGACGATCTGTGCCGGGCCCTGCACCCGATAGATGTATCTGAAGTTCAGAAGGGCAAGCGAACTTTCGCTGGTTTTTTCTGGTGAATTTGATGATGGGGGATTGGCTTTTTAGAAGATTGAAGCTTATGTCCATCTCATCTTGCGTGGGGCACAGGTGCAATAATCTTATATATAAAGCTGAATGTCTGTTTGTCTGTCTGTCTGTCTGTATGTATGTATGTATATATGTATGTATGTTCCGAATAGAAAATTCCATTTCTGAACCGATCCGGACCAAACTTGGCGCACATACACTTCGGGCCCCGGCGGGTGTCATAGGCTACTTTTCGTCATCGATCGATATCGATTTTATCGATTTTTATCGATTTTTTTGCTGAGTTCACCTACGGGGCTGGGAGTTTGCACAGGGGGTAATCGAGCATGGGGATTCCGAATACAATATTGGTTTTCGGGATTATCGATTACTTTTATCGATTTTATCGATTTTTTTTTGCAAAGTTTGAGCTAGGGGGCTGGGAGTTGGCACAGGGGGGGGGGGGTAATCGAGCATGCTGATCATCCCCAACTCAGACAATCGCCGGGGGCAGGCGGGCACCGGAAAAATAGATTGCTGATCTCCCGCACCCCGCTCGAGGATTTTTTGGAAAGCAATCAGGACTTTTCGGAAGACCGCTTGCTGAGTTCTCGATTCCTCAGAAATTCAGCAATATATCTGCAAAAGATAAGAGCGAAAAAAATTCAACAGGCGGTCTCTCAGAAATCCGCTGACTCAGCAAGCGGTCTTCCGAAAAGTCCTGATTGCTTTGCAAAAATTCCGCGAGCGGGGTGCGAGAAATCAGCAATCTATTTTTCCGGTGCCCGCCTGCCCCCGGCGATTGTCTGAGAAGGGGGGTGATCAGCATGCTCGATTACACCCCTGTGCCAAACTCCAGCCCCCTAGCTCAAATTTTCAAAAAATCGATAAAATCGATAAAAGTAATGGACGATCTTGAAAACTAATATTGTATTCGTAATCTGCATGCTCGATTACCCCCTGTGCAAACTCCCAGCCCCGCAGGTCAAACTTTACAAAAAAATCGATAAAATCGATAAAAGTAATGGACGATCTTGAAAACTAATATTGTATTCGTAATCAGCATGCTCGATTACCCCCCTGTGCAAAATCCCAGCCTCGCATGTCAAAATTTACAAAAAATCGATAAAATCAATAAAAGTAATCGATAATTCTGAAAACTAATATTGTATTCGGAATCCCTATGCTCACTTCCCCCCCCCCCCCTGTGCCAACTCCTGGCTCTGTAGGTGAACTCTGCAAAAAATCGATAAACATCGATCGATAACGAAAAGTGGACTGTGACACCCGCCGGGGCCCGAAGTGTATGTGTGCCAAGTTTGGTCCGGATACGGCGGAGCCGGGTAAGCCAGCTAGTCATCTATATAGCGACAGTTTAACAGTGGCTTGCTCTGCGAGGTCGAGGTCGGATGCTATAGGAAAGGCTAATTCATAGTGAGGGCATAATTCAGTCCGTGGTACTCGCTCCGTTCACCGCTTAAGCTATTGAGTTGAGCGCTAGCTTAATTCTAACCCTCTGGTATCGTAGTAGTGTTTAGCATAATGTTGAGGTGATATTCCTATGGCTGATTAGGCGTTCAAGCGGATAGGTCGCAATGTTTCTAACCTTTCCAGGCTTTGAAGAAGGCGACGACGCCGAAACGTAAGCCCGAATAAAGAATTCAACAATCTTGGCGCAAGGCTCTACAATCAATCCAAAAGCATACAAATACAGGGGTGCCAAAAAAATGTGGACACTGTTTGATTGTTAATAACTCTCTTGTTTTCAGGACTTTCGCCGAGCTTGAGGCGCCATTTGTAGAGCGAGGTTCAATTTAGACTTACAGCATGGAAAGAATTCTCGACCTTTATTCGTTACTGTAGGACGGTACAAACTTTGAGAAGTATTTTAGGAGAGTGAAGGCGATTTTTGCCTCAGAAAGAAAGCCAAACAAGCCAGGAACTTTTGTACTGGACTAATCGAATTCGCCGATTATATACATGAAATTTGCACTTTACTTTGATGCTCCCTTCATAGGTTATTTTGTGTTAGGGTAACATTTCTTTTCCCAATGTTCATCAGAAGTCCGATTACACCATTAAAAGAGCTCAAAAAACTGGTGAAAAGTTGTGTACTGGAATCAGCACGCCTAAATACCTTACTACACAATTTTCCAGGTTTTTTGGAATTTTTTCTAATAAAAGGCTTATTCCATAGTGGCGCAGTATGCTGAAAGTTTATACTGTAATCCTACAGTAACGAAGAAAGATCGGAAATACGTTTTATGCTAAAAATCTAAGTTAAACTTCGCTTTAGAGATTGACGCCTCAAGCTCGGCGAAAGACATGAAAGCAAGAAAGTTATTGACAATCAAACAGTGTTCACATGTTTTTGGAGACCCTGTACTTTTCTAAATGCATTGAAAATGTTAAAAAAATCAAAACAAAAAATGCGAACGAACTTATTACCAGTTTAATTTATCATAGTAAAAAGATGAAGCGGTTTTGATGACACACTTTACTTTTTAGCTGCTCAAACATGGCTTTTTCTGAACACCTAACCCTTTAAAAATCTTTGCACCCGCTTTTACCAAGTAGAACAAAGATATCCAGATACACTACATGTGTTCTGGAAGAGAGGACGAGGAAGTTCTAGTGCCTTGATTATCGGTTCGCTGCTATTCATCCACAAAATTTGTATTTAACCTAATTTGCCAACGTGATTTATGCTTACTGTTAGTACAAAGGTAGAACCTCAACAGTGGTTATTGAAACCCCTCTCTCCCCATGTGAATTAAAGTTGTCTAGGGAGAAAAGAAAAAGATGTAAACCGAGCTGCAAAAGTAAAGGAGGTTGTTGAAAAACTTATTACAGAGTAAAATCACTGCGATAAGGTTTGAAAACTTTCTTTTGTCAGTTTTTCAAATCGTAAGTTTTCGATTTAGAATTAGCCGGTTTACAACTTGGGGAGTATGAGAGAAAGCTAATCACATTTTGCAGTTGTTCCAAGGGGCGCTCATTGTTGAGAAGCGACGATTGCCGATAAGAATAGGAAAAGGAAAATTCTGTTTTTCAGAGTCAAAATGCACATCAATGCTAGTGTATTCTTTAATACTCCCTCAGCTTCTCTACCCTCGTCTTGTGTTTCCGTTTCCGGCGACGCGGTCTGCGTTATTCTGTTCATCGTTCTGATTAGGAAACCCCTGGGCATGAAGAAAATGATTCCGTACTTTCTTCAAAAAACCACTTTAAAGAAAGACTTCTTCTCGCAACCTTTTATCAGGTACTTCGCAAAGTAAAGGAAAAGTAGCTTGCATTGTATACATTATAGAAGAGTAAATGATCTATCAAATTACGAAAAAACCACGTAAAAATTGTTGAAATAAGGAACAAAAGAAAGGACTTCCATATGTCCGATTTTCGCTAGATTCCTCTTCATGTTAAAAAAAAACGCGGTGACATTGTGAGCGTGTAAATAGACATACTAAAACATATAAACTATCTTTCTTTTTCTCATGAGCCTCAAGATGGTATACGGATTATTAATACTGAATTTGAGCAGTGAAGAAGAGCGTGCAAGAGTCGAATAAGCTGTGTATTGAGCTGAACTGAGCTCGTGGACGGTTGCGAAACGCAACAAGCGCAACATGGCGCAAAGGCAGCAGAGCCAACTGGGCATTTGGCTTTAGTCGTAGGCCCCGTTTTCAAGGAAGCCCTGCAACATTGTCGTTCTGATTGTTATGAGATGACTGGACTCTCTGACAACGTCGCTGAGGCTGGTTCCACTCTACAGTGAGATAAAGCAGCCTATTGTGTGCAGTTCTTACTCATGTCTCACGCTCAGTTTTCGGCTTTAATGGATTCCGAAGCTCATTTATAGTGCAATAAACCTTAAGAGAAATTCTTGAAGGTCTTGCTTATAGCACGAAGAAGCTATTAAAACGCTCTGATCCTAATGGAAAAGTGATATTAATTTCTTGAGACCATACGCATCCTGTTAAGTAGAGATTAACAAACACTTTGAAGTTTATTTTATTCTAAGTTAAAAATATTAGAAATGAAACGTTATAAGCTTTTCGATAAACTTCGCATTCGTCAGGACTCGCATCGGAAGTACAGGGTGTCCCAAAAAAATGTGAACACTGTTTGATCGTTGATAAGTCCGTTGCTTTCATGTGTTTCGCCGAGCTTGAGGCACCATTCTGTAGAGCGAGGTTCAACTTAGATTTCTAGTATGGAGCGAATCACCGGTCGCTGTGCGTTACTGTAGGATTACGGTATGAACTTCTAGCATGTGGAATATTGTGAAATACGTCATCTGACAAATTTTCCTTTCAAATCTGAAATATCGTATACTGGGGTTTCCGCCCACTCTGATTCCACTCAACTTTTTACGAGTTTTCCAGCTTTTTTGGCGATGTGATCACCTTTCTGACAAGTGCTGAAAATTCAGTTATTACGATTTACCCGGAATAACCTTGGAAAGAAGCACCACAGTGAAGTACAAAATTCATATTAAAAATCAGCCGTTTCCATAGCATAACAGTTTTTGGTTTGTTTGGTTTTGTTCCGAGGAGAATATGACCTCCAATGGCCTAAAATCCTTGTCAAAGTTCCTACCGTAATCCTACAGTAATGAAGAGAGATCGACGATCCGCTCCACACTGCAGATCTAAGTTGAACCTCGCTCTGTAGAATGGTTCCTCAAGCTCGGCGAAAGACACGAAAGCAAGGGAGTTATTAACAATCAAAAAGTGTTCACATTTTTTTGGGACACCCTGTATAGCTATTAAAAAGAAAGAAAATTTCTGCATCGCCTACAATATTTGTCGCTGCAATAGGACGGGGGCAAAAGATTATACAGCTCAATCTGTTTTGAACTAACAAGGGAACCGTGTCTGGTCGAAGTGGCCTTTCCAGATGAGGCCCATACTGCTTTGAAGAGCATCAATCGGTGATTCCAAATCTTCTTTCCAAATCTGCCAAGCGCCTCTGGACGCCGAGTTATGCTCGTTTTTCAGGTCAAAAAACTGAACACGAAACTGAAGCAAAATCGCCCAAATTTGCTCAAATGGTCCAGTGTCAAGTATCAGAGCTATTTATGCAATGGATACATTTGATTCAATGTGCTAATACTTAACACTGCTTTATCTGAGCGCTGGAAAGATTGTAACCATCAATTTTACCTAAATTCTGCATTCATTTTTCGTTCCGAAGAACGGTCATAACTCGGCGTCCAGAGGCGCTTGGCAGATTTGGAAAGCAGATTTGGAATCACCGCTTAATACTCTTCAAAGCAGTATGGGTCCCATCTAGAAAGGCCACTTCGACTCGACACGGTTTCCTTGTAAGTCTACTCCACTTCAATGCTGTGGTGTCGAAACTGTGGCGAGATCGCCAGAGAGGCTAGCAGATCGACTTCTTATTGTTAGCACAAAAAAAGGACCAATAAAATGATCAATATTCACATAAGGAAGCGTGAAAGTGGTTCCTGTCTATGGATTAGTATTTCTACCGAGCTTTGTCTTGCACAATGTAAGAAGGATCTGGAAGTTGATTTGACAGAATAATCTGAAGAATTAAAGAAATACCATCTTTGAGGTCATATTGGAAGGAATGTTCGATCGTAAAAAGACGTCACGCCAAGAAATGCATTGATATTTTCATTCAGCAAGCAAACTAGCTTGTGCATCCGGCCTTGCCCAGCGGTTGTGTGATGTAAAAAATTTGCTAAAAAACGCTATGTTGATTCTGACAATGATAGAAAGATTTCTAGAAGAATAAAAAACGATTTGGAAAGCGTGCCTCATGCTCTTCGGACTTTTCTCATTGCCACTTTCAGTTTTGGTTTAAAAGCTATCTCCTTTAATGCGGCTTTTTTCTTGGACGACCTTATGGTCACTTTGAGAAAAGCTGATCTCTTGTTTTTTTTTCCCTCTGAGATTGCCCGGCTAACATGAATGTGCGCATAAGCATCAATGAATGTGACTGATTAGCATATCACCATCTATCATGAAGTGTTCAATGTCACCTGTCTGCTTGTTGCCGTGTTTGTTTCTGTAATAACCGATTCTTGCTCTGTCACCCACTCTAAAAAGATCTCAGACTGAGCTGGATAAATCAAAAGAAATGCCGTCCTGAGGATCTTATTACGCTCTTCTTGCACAAACTCGAAATGAGACACCGATGCGATTTACAATAGGTCAAAAAAATCTGTAGCCGTTATCAAGCCTACTTTTTTATCGATGAAAGTAACAAATCAACAAATCGTAGAAAAGCATGCAATTCGCCGAAAAAAAGTCCTATAATGTGCGCCAGGGTCAAAAACCTATATGTGGAAATTCAGTGCTTATTGGTTCACTCACAAAGATTTATTTCTCAGCATACTTATTTATGAACTTTGAATTTCAAATAACCATAATTTTGTCACAGTGCGATCAGCGGTTTTATTTTGTTCTAATTGCATGAGCATTCTGGCGCTGAGAGTTGCCTTTTCGAAAGGACATACAAGAGCAATTGTAAGATTTTCAGGAAAATTGCTGGACATTATGCGAATTTTGAAAGCAGTTTACATGCCAGAAAGTTTTTTTCGACATCTAATTAATTATTAGTCATTATTCTTCATAGATGTATCACATGTTTACTGCAAGTGAAACCAAGCCGCTGTCTGCAAGCCCTACTCCACCCAGATTTATTTAGCCTCTCATAATCTAAACGTAAGTAGTTCCAAACGGCAGTTGCTCCACTGGACCGCTGAGTAGAGGGAGAACTGGAGGGAAGGCTGAAAAAGGCTTTTAGTGGACGCCGAATTTGAGGAAAACGCTTACCTAAGCCTCCTTCTGGTTTAGCCGATCGCATCGGATATAATAGAGATTGGTCGAGCAATGCTTCTGAAGATGCAGAAGGTGAAATTGTAAGCGAATCCAATTTCTTCGTCGTAACTGTAAAGTGACATTATTTCTGAGTGCGACAGCTTTCATCAATATCATTTCATAATGGTTAAATGAAATGGGATGCAAAAAGACTTAAACCCTATTGTTGAGACTGATCGCTTGGAAAACCATAGCCATGGATTAGAAAGCAAAAACAATGATTATTCTCTCTTTCGTTTCTCCATCGCTACAAGCGAGCGTCATGTGGAGAGCACAACCTCTGATTAATGAAGTTATGATTGATCTACGGACGAATAGCAACAGAGGCCGATCTGTGGAGAGATTTTTGTGCTCGTAATGGCTGAACTTGACGGATCAAACCTTAGCGTCCACGTTGTGTTCTAGTGTATTTCCAAACGTCACGGAAAAGATGTTTTGTGAATTGATGTGATTTAGAAATATCCTCTCCATTATACAATTGTTACATATCGCCTCTATTAGTATAAAATAAAAACTTTTTCTAAGACATGAATGCGTAAGTGCAGTTGCAAAGATTTTGCTACTTTATCTGTAGACCTCAAAACTTGTTTGCTTCTTTTTTAATTTCTGATTTTCTCTTGTTTTGAAGATCTTCGTTGCTGACCATAGGTTTTGGAAATCTGTCAACAATATTTATAACTCCAAGCTCGTTTTTAACTTCCCATATCTCTTATTGTTAGAACTTGTTCATATATAAAGAAAAAAGTCTTAAAATTTCAACGTTACTGTGACGCATCTACACCATTTCGCAAAGATGCTACGCGTTAGAGTACTTATAATCGACCGATCATGTGTGAGCCCAATCAAGAATTATCAAGTACTCATTTAAATGCAGGACAGACCGTATTCACATTTGTTAGAAATCAAGCTTTCAACCAACTAATTTGTTTCAAAAGCCTTATCATCTATTAGGTTGTTGCAAAAATAATGTCTTTTTTGCTAAGTTTCAATTTGAAAGGCTATAACTTTGTTCAATCTACATATTTCTGGATGCATATAACCACATGGAGCAATAAAGCTTTCTAACCTAACGCGCACCTGCACTTACTGATTTTGCAATCGGGAAGAAAAAATGCGGCAAAAACCCGGAAGTTTTTCTTTCGAAAACCTCTTCTTTAGGAGAGTACAACTTCCTGAAGTTTTTTTCTATGGCTGCTAATCAGCTTATTTTGTAGACGCAAGCCGGTAGTATATGGCCGTTTGGAAAAGACTTCAACGAATCTGCGAAAAGAAAGGATATAAATTCAAAATTGTGCACTTTTTCAGCCTATTTGTGGTAGGCCGGAAAGTCCCAAACTGTGAAAATTTGAAATTCTTCATACACTGAATAGTTAAGTTTTTCTGCAAAAATTGTAGGCAAGATGTGCTGATCTCAAGCACGCAGGAATGAGCGAAGCTTTGACGATTATCCCAATTATACATACTTTGAACCCATGGAATGCCAGCAACGAGTGTCTATATCGGGGCATTGATTTCTCGGTTCAGATATTTTGAATCTACTCAAACATGCTATAGGTAAATAATGTTCAACTAATACACTCGCTATGTTTTCAAAAGAGTCGTTCATTTACGCCTGAATTGTGGCCAAGCGGGTTGAAGCAACGAAACGATTTTGAGTGCGGCTGTGTGAGATGCTGATGAAATCCTCACAAATAAGACAGCGGAAGTTCAATTTCACCACACTTAGAAAGTATTTGAACAAAGCTTTCTGATGATAGCAGAATCTATATCGACAAAGAAATTCCAAAGAAAAAAAGTTGGGAAAGTAGGCGGGGATTATTTTTGCAACAGCCTAATAATGTGACGGTTCTGCGATTCAGATCTATCCCTATGCCATGTTGTCCCACAATACAAGATTAAATTATATTTTTCACTTATTTCATTTTATCCAATATCTTTGCGTTCCTTACAATCGAACAAAAACACGCAGTTATTTATAAAGTAACCATAAGAATAAATTATCATGTAGTTCGCGTCTAATATTTTGGAAGTAAATATAATGATAGTTTGTATGTGTCTGCTAAATGAGTACAAATTCAGTATTGAATGAATGTGATTATGGAGATGGTACCCATAATTTGCTAACGAAACTTGGAATATTCCGACAAGTAAACGACATTTCGATAGTGGACACACTGTCGCTAAAATGGATTGACCTTTTCCGGCGTTATCTCACAAAATAACCTTCCGCGACCATCTTCATTCTTGTGAACGCGATCTCTAAACGCGCATACAAGTGCGAAAGCTGAGTTTGAAAACGAAGGAAGGAACAAAAATAAAAACAATGGGTTTTTATGTGATTACTAGGCTTGAGTACAAGGTTTGCCCCAGCAAGCATTATGGTACGCGTCTGCTCTCGCTGCTGAAGTACTCGTTTTCTCCCATGTTCCCGAACGGCAGCCCGAGCACTAGCTTATTCATGTATTGGAGGCGTTAGCGCTCTGTATGGGAAAGTATGAGCAAAAAGTGCGAATGCAAGCGAATTGAGTGAGGTGATAAAACCCACCTTGAGTTCTTTCGTTCTGTTTTAACTTCTCCGATAAGCCATCGGTTGAAGAATCTCTTATCTTAGCTATTCTGCTCTGAAGCGATTCATTAAAGACCTTCTTCGATAGGTCATCGGTTGAAGAATCTCTTATCTTAGCTATTCTGCTCTGAAGCGATTCATTAAAGATATATGTCCAATCTTCCAAAGAACATACCTCTGCATATAACTCATGCGAACTCTTCCTGCTGGCAAACCATTTGGCTACAGGTCTATCTGATGTCACATTGTTTGGTTGCTTAGGTGTGACTTGGTCGTCTACAAGAGATAGATGGCTATTTCTTACCACTGATCAACTCTCGCTATCTCTATCGCAAGGCTGGCTCTCTTATGAGACTTTATCTCGACTCCTTGAGCATCACAAGCTAAGAAATCACTTCAGATGAGAATTTTCATCTGAAATGCAGCTTGTGTTCGATAGTATATTCGTTGTATGTGATGTACTGTACTGTACTTATGTTGATGTACTTGACATAACGGGCCTAATGAGCTTACAAAAATGCAATTTTTTGCTATGTTCTTCAAATCACAAGGTCAAAGCTGAAAATGCAGCAAAGAAATGCATTAATGGAAGAAAATCTGATTTCAAATCAACATTATACTTACCAATAATTCGGGCGATTACTTCAAAAACAAATGTAAATAGAATAATCAGGGGGACTTCAGAACAGCGACACATGTGCAATGAGGGTGGTTGTAGTTTGCTAATGCGTGTAGTGCGTATTTTTTTCTAATTTCCACAGTTTCGCTAGTGGAAACCTGCACCTAACGTTGTGTGGATAGTTCTTCGTCGGCCAAATGCGGTGATGGGGCTACTTTGCTCAAGTTCAACGTTAACCACAACCAAGTGACCACTGCATAAAACCCTCTATCGAAGCAGCTACACTTTGAACACCAGCATCACATAGACATAACAATTCGCAAGACAATAGGATAATACAAGCATTTTCACTGCTACACTCCAAGTGAAACAACCAAAACACCTTCCAAAAGAATTGAAACTCACTGCGATAACATTATTAGGGTGAACGGTAAAAAATGGGACAATGAGAATAATTGCAGATTTCTCAAGGAATAGAAGTGACTGAACTTTCCAATTTTGATGGATATTAGAATAAATTATTCTCTTTCAGATAGCACCTATATAAGGTCATTTAAATAATTGATAATTTTTATATTTGCTAAAATGCAAAGTTAGTTACTTCGAGAAATTATGAAGTTTGAACAGTATCGGCGCAGTGAAACATGTGGAACCACCCAAAGTACCACTGCTGGAGTGAGTGGTGGGACAGTCACCAAACCCACGACGGCTTGGTGGCTTTAACTCTCAATGTCAGGAGATATGCCCATTAACAGCTTCGAGAACAAAGATACGCGTTATTCAATTCTTTGCAGGTAAACGCACAATTTCTAGGTATCATCTGATAGAGCTTTTTACGCTCTATCCATCCATATGCAGTTTACTTCAGATTTTATCTATCTTCGGAAAATATAGGGCAAAACATGATTTTTTAGTCTTTTGTTGCGCCAAAAATAGCTATTTTTCAGGTTTTTTCGATTTTTTTTTCTGAAATTGAAAGGAAATCTCATGCATTTAACGCATCATTCGAAAGAGCATGAAGAGCTCTTTCGAATGGTGTGTCATTTGCTTTACGACTTTACGGTATAACAGCGCAAGATTGAGGATTGTCCAAAAAACCCTGTTCGAGTTCTTCACGGCGCCACGTGTAGGGTAGTGGAAGAGGAGCGTTAACGCGTTGTCAGAATAATAAGCGAAGGTCGCCCATGTGAGCGACGTTTAAGTTGCTGCTTACTTGCTGCTGCCAGAAACAAAAAATTGTAAAATGTAATGAAAATCAAGCTGTCCCATTTTTTACCGTTCACCCTAATAATAGCACAAAAGTGCGCTGCACGTTTGTACCAAAGGTCCATATGATTCTGATTCTTACATGATTCCAAATGCTATTACGTAAAAAAAGCAATGCAACTTGAATCCGGCATAGGGTAACCTTTTTGGCATGAGAAAGTCTTGGACAGTCGCTCTGGCGACACGAAATTTCCTTTGAGAATTTCTTTTGTGTTGGTACTACACAAAAATGTCGTTAAGGCTGCCTTTTACCAACGTCGTTATGAAATGCTCTTTTCGCATAAGGTCTGCATACACTCGTATTTCAATTTCAGCTTCAAATCTGATCTTGACAGGTTTTCTCTCTGTGGCTCACCAGTTTTTGGAGCGAGAAGTTTTGTTTTTCCCCACAATTTCCACAAAAAACGGCAAAAACCTCGATTTCGACAGTATTTCAGCCACATAAAATGCCTTTGCCCCCGGAAAAAAGACCCAGCATAGAAGCTGTGTTTCGCTGGTTGGGCATCGGCAGGCTCTCTCTGTAGCTCACCAGTTTCTGGAGCGAAAAGTTTTGTTTTTCCCCATTATTCTCACAAAAAACGGTAAAAACCTCGAGTTCGACAGTATTTCAGCCACAGAAAATGCCTTTGCCCCTGGAAGAAAGACCCAGCATAGAAGCTGTGGTCTCGCTGGTTGGGCATCGGCAGGCTCTCTCTGTGGCTCACCAGTTTTTGGAGCGAAAAGTTTTGTTTTTCCCCACAATTTCCACAAAAAACGGTAAAAACCTCGATTTCGACAGTATTTCAGCTACAGAAAATGCCTTTGCTTCCGGAGAACCCAGCATGCATCTGCATTGGTCAGCTTTTGGGAAAGCGATTATTTTGATTTTAACTAAGCAACGAAAGAAGCAAACTGTATTGAATAACCGAATTCTTTTGGTGGCATTCGCTCGTGTTCGTCACCGTGATGGATGTAATAGTCAAAGACTTCATACGACAATCACCGTGGGCACTCATGTATGCGGACGATATGGTGCTACTAGCGAGAAGCAGGCAGGAGCTTAGATGGATGTGCAGGTGTGGAAACTCAGACAATTACTGCAACCATAAGCGGAATGGCGCCGGCTGACGTTTCATCCATCCCGCAGGTGGTAGAATAAGCCCACGCCAAGCTTCCGAAATCTACTCGCGGATGCGCCGATAAGTACCCAGACGAAACCCGCGGATGTCCCGGCAATCGAGCGATAATTGCGCCATATGCGACTGCGGGTGGCCCCATACGCACTAGCTGAAATGTTTTTATAGAAATCTATGAACTCTGTTCTCATTCTTCTAGCCCTCGCATGGAGGTCACGATCTACATCAAAATTTGGCCGAGGGCCCTAATGAGGACCGACTTCGCTGCTAGTCATAAGCTGAACTTATATAACCACAGACCGAAGCGTTTGGTTACCTCAACCACCGCGGCGTATCTCATGCGAGCAACGTTTTTGCTTCCAGCTGTAAGAAGTGTGGCGTCCAGCAGGGTCCGGGGCTCGCCAGAATGGCTCTAACGGGCTGCGGCTTACCCGATAACCAAATATGCTGGGCGTCCTGTAAGGACCGTGGCTCGCCCGACTGTCTTGTCATGGGCCGCGAGTGTTCCGATAAAACAGTTATGGCCCACGGCCATTCCCTCGCGATAGCACTGAGCCGCGGATTGTCAAAGATATAAATTTAGGGCCGCAGATGGTTAGTCTAAGAACTCAGCGCCCGCGCACCGCCAAAAAACGACGGTAGAGGCCGGGATACTCGCAATAATTTAGCTGAGAAGCTAAGCTGGAGCAGCATGGATTGAAGTTGAATACGACAAAGACGGAATACATGGAAATAGGAGTTCAGACACCTGGGAACATCCACATCGAAGACACGCACAAAAAGACCATCTCCTTTAAGTACCTGGGAAGTCGTATCTCCGCAGACGGTAGCCTCCACGACGTTATCCAGTAGAGCGAGTGCAGCTTGGATGAAGTGGAGAAGCATGACAGGAATCCTACGTGACAAACAATGCCTCGAGACCTCAAGGTTGCTGATATACCGCACAATAATTTGACTAATGGCGCTGTACGGAAGCGAATGCTGGCCGTGTACCCACAGTGAGGAAAGGAAGCTTGGCGTAACAGAGACGCGGATGCTGAGATGGACAATAGGAATTACCATGCTAGACCATATCACGAACGACACAGTACCAAGCATGATGAAAGTCGCGCCAGTGGTACAGAAGATGCAGGAAAGACGCCTCCGATGGTATGGACACGCGAGTCGACGAGATGAAGACCATGTAACTAGATTAGCCATGTCAGTGAACGTACCAAGAAAGAGGCCAAGGGGAAGACCTAAGATGCGATAGCTGGATAGAGTCAAAGAGGATATAAGAGAACTTGAGACAAATGAGCAACAAGCCTTGAACCGAGAAGAGCAGAGGGGACTTACGGGAGCAGCAGACCCCGCATGACGGGAAAGAATGCAAGGATGAAAAAAAGTTGGTGAACGTACGTTCTCTAGCTACCGTTTTTACAACTCTTTACGTTCTCTATGCATTCATAAGCAGTTAACCCCGATTTCCATTTACACTCGGAAAATATAGGTTGAAACATGATTTTCTTTTTATTTTATTTTTATTTCACAAATACACTCGAGGTGCGCCAGAATGATAAATAAAAAGACGATCCAAACAGACAATGAGACCAGCCAGTCCTCAGCCGCAAGAGAAGATAAAAGAAAATACGAAGTAAAACAGAATACGAAGCTCTAGACCCACCTTGTAAACTTTAACGAAAGTAACTTGATCAAAAACTACCACATGAATCTTGCATACTCTAAAATCAAAGATGCCTCATTTTTGGGTGTCAGCGAGCCCGCCGGTAAGGCTAGCTGACCTGACCCCATTAAAGATTTATTTTAGAGGAAGCAAGATCTAGGTCAAGAGTGGCAGAGTAAACATCTACGAACTACTGCAGAAGGCACTTCATTAGGGCGGACACAATCTGAGGTGCCCTAGATGGGAAATTAGGCTTCGTTAAGGTAATAAGGTGTTACAAAGCTTCTGACGAATGAGCCGGGCTGGCTCACTTGTTACTCAACGATGCTTATAGTTAGTAACAACCAATAAAATAAAACCAGGCTACAGAGTCAAGCTGCAAGTGAAGAACACCAGGACTCGGCTCTGAATAATGACTGTGCGGACCGAAAACCGACATACTAGTAGCATCAATAGCCATAAAGCCAAGAAGATAAAGAACTGATAACTGAAAAACGACAAAATTAAAATCATTCCAGAAATTAGGGATGCAAGCTGTGTGCCAGCTCTCATCAACTTAGCTCTGAAGGAGCGTGCAGTCTGAGAACACATAACATCCATAGGCAACCGCTGAAACAATCTAGTAGACCTGCAAGAAATGTTACTGTGCATTTTTGCAACATTGTGCTTTTTGACTTTGGCGTAGTGCAAATTGAATCCTCCCGACCTTTTACTAGCTGGCATGAATATCCAATATTTACTTGCCTTGATTTTCACCTTTTAAAACTTGAAAACAAAACGCTAAATCTGAAAGGTTGCGACGAAAAGAAATGCTATGTAATTTGAACATTCTAAGCAGTACATTATAATCTGGTATACTGCTATCAGAATAGAGTCGCCTGTACAAGAGACGCGTGAAGGTTGTTGCACTTTTTCTATTTTGCAAATATCTTTTTTCCGGGCAGGATTTCAAACTTGGGAGCAATATTTTAGATGGAGGCGAATGAGGGCTTTGTAGAGACGTGTTATAAAGCAGGAGAGTTGCTCCTTACGGTGCGCAGCAGCACAAATAAGGAGATGTAGGGTGCCTTTCTGACAGCAGCATAGATATGCTCAGAAAACTTTAGTTTAGCGTCAACAAGCACTCCCAAGTCCCTAGCTGAGCCACATGACCTCAATGCAAAATCCTCAATCACATAAGTACCTGCACAACCAATCTCTATATGCAGTAAGCAGCTCTTGTCAAGATTTGGTGTTAAATTCCAAGCCGTTGCCCAATCAACCAGATTGAAAAGAGACATTGTAAAGCTGCCTGAACTTCAATTCAATCTTTTGCACCATACATTCCGTATTTTATTTCTGGTTTTTTATTGCGCCAAAAACGCAATTTTTCAAGTTTTCTGCTTTTTATCTGGAAATTAAAAAAAATTGCATACATTTAATATACCATTCAAAAGCAAAAGCTCTGTCCAATATCCCGTCCGAGTTCTTCAGGCGCCACGCGGAATGTTGTGAGAGTAGAACGGTAAAGAGTTACTAAAAAAATCTTAAAATGTAATAAACAAAGCTGTCCCATTGCTTTCCGTTCACGTTAATTTAATAATATGCCCGTAGGCTTCATATACCTTGACATCCTTTCGCTGTTAATGATAGAGAATAATCCATCTATAGCGCAGTGTCAGTGCGCGCATCCGCATTAGTAGGTTCGATGACGTTTGCGCGACGTTTGTGGCTATCAAGGCATGGTCGTGAGCAGCACGTACTTTAGTGAACATGTCATGACCGTGTTTTCTTTACATTGTGACATATTAGAATGATCCAAAGTTGGAACACCTAGAGGTTTAATGCAGATTTCTGTGATAGCAAAGTTAATCAGTTGTTCAAGTTTTTGGAAAGCTAGTAACTTTAATAATTTCGAGCTTCGAGCAGCGTTGCCGCAATCAAATTATGAGGCTATCAAAAATATCTGTGCCTCACTGAGCTCGGGAGTGTCACCAAATCACTGATAGCTTCAGATTGCGGTATTGTCTAGCCAAGTCTCTTAAAAATTATTTAAGGAAAACGTATACGCTGCTGCATGACGAAGGCGCAATATCTTTGGGCGCGAACGCGACTTTATCAGCCGCAGAGCGCATGAGACGCAAGATTTACAAAGGTTAGGATACGCGCGCGCCGCGTTCACGCCCGCTCAACTAATACTGCCTCTGCGCCTTCTGCAGTAGCCTTTAGATGCATCAGTCCATATTTGCAAGTAATGAAAGGCCAATCATGCAATTGTTGGATGTCTTGTGATACCTCTTCGGGGCGCGAAAAGTTCCGTTTTGCTTTATACGTTGGACGTTATTTTGACTCATAGTCAGAGGCTTGAAAACCTTTTCATCTGGTGAGTATTGATCATTTATATATCTGACAAGGCTGAACACCTTTCCGGATTAGTTCCTGGCTACTGCATGTCCTTTGGCGCTCGACAACATCTCGTATCCAGTTTCGTTTTCTGACAGATGCGTTGTTGCGCGCTTGGAATTGCCCTTGTGATCCTGGTCAACGGTACGTTATTGATCAGATTCAGTATCCTTATTTACATTATTATCGTATCCTTCAGCTAATGTCAGTACGATTTCTTAGAACAAACGTAATTTCGATAATTCCAGGGCAGTTCAACATTCCCATACCGTTCGGAAATATTGGGTTACAAAAGAATGCGGAGGGAAATGTAGGTTCGCTCTTCCGATTTTCACTACCTTTGCTCTTTATTATTGCTGTATGACCTTTTTATTGGCTTGTCATTTGTAAACTTTGCTTTTAGCTCGAAATCACTTCTAACGAAGGATTCAACCTATTCGGATATGGAGGAAAGCGAAATCTGAAAGTGATAACAGGAAATGGAACGTTCCATATTGAAAGTAAGTATATGACATTTTTACAGCTATTCGAAGTTAATAGCACCGGGAGCTATCAGTGATTTTTGTTTTGCCTGAATTTTTTTTTACTTGGCAAGCTTTCTCGCAATAAACATATTTTGTATGTAGTGCATACTCTTACAAAAAACTTCAAATTTATCTTTTCAAGTCGCCTGCCTTATACCTTTTACGTAATATTTTTTTTGTTTGAGAGGAAGATGTCGGCCTCGTCAATGGTTCGCAATTTGGTGGATCAGGAGCATTCAGTTTTGACAAGCAGAAAGGGATTGATATCGGGCAAAATGTCACATTGGGAGACAAAACAGCTGTGGTGAGTGACCGTAAAGTTTTGCACGAAGGAAAGTAAATATAGGAACGATTAGGGTGGTCCCGGTCGAGAAGGTGGCTTTCTTGTGGAATTGTTACGAGCACTGCAAAGTTTAACAAAGATGCATTCCTAGAAGGGGTCAAGGAGAAAGAGCCGTTCTCGCTGCTTGTTGAATTGTTTGGTTGTAAATTATAATACAGTACCACATCTTCATAATATTATATTATGTTTATTTTTGTAGAAATAGATAAACAAGTAAACATGTGCATTTTGCTACATTTTGAAGTTCATACAGAGGCAATGTCTTAGCTCTTGATGGCCTCATGAGCTCATGCAAGGAGACGATTACTTCCTGGTCACTGTAGCTACGGTAGCTGAACGGAATGTCAAAAGAATCACAACAAAAATGCAAAATACTTAATATTACTGAACTTTACGATCTCTAGGGTACTACGCTTTCTCATTGGCCCACCCGCAAGGAGTAGCTTGTGATGGGAAAAGTACGGTATAACTACTGTAGCTCTACTGTTGAAGTCTCAGAGTGAGGCTGAAAACTGCTCAAATGGTGATTTTTCTTTCACAATATTATGCCATCCTCACTAAGAGTATTATGTCAAAGCTAATTTCCATAGTCACAAGATCAGTTGCATCGAAAAAAACCGGTATCTGTGTACTAAACCGATGAAAAGAAGTGAATGAAAGGGCGAAAATAACCTTGAGGACACGCGCATCTTATCGGACACTTTGCTCTCATGGTCTTTTGACAATGGCCAGAGTTTCGCGGCCAAAATGCTACTTTACACTGAAGAATTTGATGGGTTTAGAGAACAGCAGTTTTTTCCCCTTGGAAACGTTTAATGCTATAAATGTTGAGAAATCTTGGATTTATCGCCCCTTTCAGCATGTTGTTTTCCATTTGAAGTTATCTCGATTAATTTGTCATAATATGAGTTAGGTTAGGACTAATTTGAGTATACAAATGACGTTTTATTTCATTTGCAAAGCTTTAGAATATGTATACAATTCTGTTTAGCAAGACATGGTAAGCATATCTATGCAATTTTTGTTTACTTTATCCAATACATATAGTTTAATTACTTTTTGTGTGACTCTCCCTCACTGTGTTTGCATTTTTATTGTGTACTTATTTACCTCAGTTACCATATGTGAATACTGAATTAAAACGAACTTCTTGTACTACTTTTTCTGAAAGTACAGTCATAATCTCTAGACCTTCGAAATCCGGCTAACTGGACTAATTTTTGACAGAGCAAAATCTTGCGTTGCCAATCTTGGTTAAAGCAAAAAGATGTCACCATTCGCTTTGATATAGGCTAGTATAGAAAATGCAAAAATTGAAAAAAAAGGGTTTTCTTGAAATATTACCAGATGGTTCTGCATCCTCAACCACTATAAAATGCCTTACTTCTCCAGTTAAGCCAATTTCGATACGATTAAAAATCTTCAGAGTGATCAAGTTTTTTTAATTCTTCAGACTTTTTATTCTCAACAAGTTCATAAGTTAAATACTCATTGCACTGGTGCAATAATCATACGAAAGAAATGAAACTTTTTCATAACATTTTTGACAAGATTTTTCAGACTTCCTGATGCAGGACTATTGACTGAGCCCAAAGGATTCTACATAATAAAGCAGTGAATAATAATTGGAAAATGTTCCTGCTTTGAACGAATTATCCGGACAGTTTTTAACCAGTTTTCTCTGACTTGATGGATCTAACAATGAAGAGAGCCATTTTCAAGTGCAGAGTTCAAAGTTATTCCCGTGCAGAGATTCTCGAAATTGAAAATTTGAGCAATATGATACGAATATTCAAAACACTTGACAACATGATCTATTAGGTTGTTATATAACTTTCGTTACACTTCCTTTGTCTTCCTGTGAAAAGTTTAGAAAATTCGGCCAGGATCATATCTGGCATATATTGGGAAGAGATAAAGGGCTATACGCTGGCACCATTATGCCCTCATGACATGACTTACAGTAGATATAGAGGCAAACTCTACAAAGGCACTTTAAACCTTTTTATTTATTTTTAAAAATTCTCTTATTGTTCTTTTTCATCTTTTCAGATTTTTGATGGATTTCTGGGAACATTGGTAGTAATACTATAATAGTTGATGGATTTCTGGGAGCATTGGTAGTAATACTATAATAGTCTGAATGTTTAAAATTTTCAATAACCAAAATTGGAAATTCGGAAAAATTTCCAAAACCTCAAAAATTTGATTTTTTATGTGTAGCAAGTGTATACAAAAATCTGCAGCACTACACATGATTTGGAGCTAAGGAAAAATCATTTGACAAAGTTATGAGAATTCTTTAGTCAAGTGTAACAAACTTATGTAACAACCTAATATTTAGTTCATGCTTAGGACATACAAGAGAATAAGATGCTACCTTTTTTGAGAAAGAACTGATTTATCTTCAAACCAAATCCTTTTCGTATTCTGCTGTTAAGAGCTCAGATTATTCTTGTCCAAAGTATTTTACACAACTCCTGGCACACGAATGCCTTTGTTGATGCATAATCGATCATCGTTTCTTTAGTTCTCGAAGTTTTACCTTGACCCTCCGCTAGGAAAAAAAGAGGTTCTTGCTCGATGTATCTTTACACCATAACTTCATACGATGTCAAATCTACTTGCCTGTTATCTAATCTTCTTAATTTTGGTTAGCGTTGATAATTGCTACCTAAGCACTTTATTCACAGAAAGATTCAAAAGTGAAAGCTCATAAAAACGGGTTCAAGGTTCAAACCTTCTTTTGCTTCGGTCGTAAATTTTAAAACATCGGCGGAGTCCGACTATAAACGAAGCATTGCTACTTCTTCTTATTTTTTCGTCTTCAATCACCCAGATCATTTGAAAACCTGTCCTGACTTCTTTTGTTGTTTACCAAAAAATCAAAACGTCTATTGCGACGATATTGTTCGTTTACCTCCATAAAAGGCATCAACATCTCAGTGACCTAGAATGCTGATATCAACAAGTATTTTGTTACTTCTATTCGTTTATGCTACAAACCAAGATTCACTAGAAGATGATCGCAGCGCATTTGAGGTAAGTCCTTGAAGGATCTTGAAAAGTTACTAGAAAATTAAAATTATCTAGGATCTAACTGATGATGCGGGGACCAGAAGATTTATTGGACCATTGCCTCCATTACCTGATATGACTGGAACAGGACGAGTGGAGCCAGGACCACCAGGTTTGCTAAAACAATTTCAGATTCTGGTAATGAATTTAAGAGAGCTTACATAGCTCTGTTACTGCTCAAACGAACGCTTGTTCCATTCGCAAAAAATATGACTTGAGACTTTTGCCCCAAACCGTATACGAAAAGCTACAGAACTGCTACGTCGGAAAGAGTACGGTCCGGGCGAGGATTTAGGCTTGAATTTTCCAATCAGGAATGCGCTGCAGCTCAAAATATCTATACTACCATTTACAGACTTTACTCTGCACTTTACTTCATAGCAAGAATGCATGAAATTGTTTTTCTGTCAAAATATTTTACGATTTTACGATTCCAGATTGATCCAAATATTATAGGTATCAGGCCACCACCAGGACTCATCGAAGAACTGACTAATTTCCACGAAGAAATGGGGGTATGTCACTAGCTTCTTTCTTTCTCGCTTTTTTCAAAAATTGTTGATTTTTTCGCTTATTTCAAATTGTAAATCCCTTTTCCGGTCAATGACCCTATTTTTTTTGAAGAGAACCTGTTTTGAAATTTGCAATCAGTTTATGTTTCAGATTGTTTCCAAGCAAGGAAAGAAGAGATTAATGGGCGTTTCGCGGCGTAAACCCACAGTGGACGATTCTTTTGTAGATGCGAGACAGTGATTTACAATGTAAATAAATTTCGAAAAAAATTCAACAAAATTTCTCCATTTGTTAGGACACGAAGCGATATTCGCGATGTCAGAAAGATAATGAGAAGCAATTGTTATAAAGATTATTTCTATTGAAACTAAAATAAATGATATTCTTTCTGATCTTACTTGTGTAGACTACAACCGTGAATGTTTATACCCGCACATTGTGGACACAGTAAAAATACAAAAAAATAGCATATATTGACAATTGCGTCCTAAATAAGACAGAGAATCACAATAAGAGAAAAAAGATTAAAGTCAGTTGACACAAGAACAATCAAAAAATTCATAGAATTACTTTCAAGGCTGTTTCTTGTTATTTGTGGCTAAGTAAAAAACAATATTTGTTCAGGAAAATTCTCCACATTGAAGATTACACAAATAGAACGGTGTTCGAGTCATCGACCTCCTTCAAAGAATGTCCATTAGCTCGATTTGTTGCAGTTCTGCTAATTCGTCTTAGAATCTGGTAAGTTCGATTAATTAACGGCGGCTCTGGTGACGGATCGAAATAGCAAAAAGCCACTGAAATTGTAGGAGTTAGTAAATTTTATGAAAAGTAAAAAAATGATAGAATTTGAAATTTCTTGATGAATCAATGGCTATTTGTAACCGAAGAGATCAAATTAATTCACTTCTTACTGTCGTAAGACTCCAAATGGCTCGCAAAAGAAAAAATAGTGAAAACATTAAATTAATGCTACCTTATCGCTTTCAAGTGGATGAAAATGTGGCGGTTTATGAGTATTTGAAAAAAAGACAAAAAATAAATAGCAAATCGAAAATGCAGCGTTTTTAGAGCAAAAATCTATTTCTATCTTATATTTTATAGCTGTTTATTTCACTTCACAAATAACAACTGGTCTTAAAAACTTACTAAAGACGACGATTATGTTGAGAATAAAGGCGGCAAGCACGAAAAACAACGCCGAATCCAAAGGTGACGATGATTGCACGTAATAGCCAGATTCAGTATGTGTCATACTGCATTAACACTGCTTCGTTCTGGTGAAAGCGATCTCTGAAAAAAATGTTATTTGCTTTATTTACTGCGTCCAGGTTTCCAAAGGTTGCGAGAACAGAATGTCAGTAGATATCAACTGGAAATGGTAAATGAAAACGCAACCAAAAAAAGAGATTTCTAAAATTATTGCACAACTTTGGAAAAACATGAGTACGAGGTTAATGCAGCTTGTCATCGATAAGATGGAGTAAAACTTGAAATATGGAATAATGAGAAGTTTGAGATATAGGAACTTTATGATGTGAATTAGCGCCAACTGAAATGCACAATTACCATTTATTAGGTCGTAATTCTCCCCATTATAGGATAATTTGTCGCAAACAATGCTCGAAATAAATATGCTTGGCCTACGAAATACTTTCATGCTGTCAAATACGTAGATGTGTTCAACCAAAACAATTCCATGAATGGCTATGAACTTGCTTAGCCCTAGCGTGACTGAGCTTGTACTCCTTTAAATACAAAAACAAGGTAAAGTGAGAGAAAGCAATTGAAGTGTTCCATGACACGCAAAGAATGGAACTCAAAACTTGGAGCTTTAAAAAAGAATATATGGTAGGAAAAGTCATTGAGTAAATGCGCATAAACCAAGTGACCGTAACAATGGCATTTGATTCCAAGTTGAAAAATTATTATGTCTTATGGATGTATATGTTCTTCTGGAAGCATAGGACAGCCTGAAGTTACACCCAGCATAATATTTTTTAGAAAATTTCGTATGAAGCAAGGAGACGAAAGCTATTCTTCCAAACTTCAAGTGAGGCCTGAAGCGCTTTTGAGCTTTTCGAAAAATGGCAGTGACAACAAAAAAACAGAAGGGCCTTTGTGATCTAAGAAGGAACATCTGTAACCCATTTGCGCTTTTCATTTCTTTAATAACCAGGGCTCGGCACGAGGTGGCTAGTTGAAAATGCAAAAAACGAAATCCCCTTGACTTTTGCGATTTTCTACGAAGTCCTCTTTGACCCTAGACCATAATTCCTAAAAATCTCCACAAACGAAACGTCGATTAAAAAAATCTCGCAAACTTTTCGGCCACAAAAACGAAACCCCGATATCCAGCTTGCTTATACCTAAGCCACCTGTGCCGAGCCCTGTTAAGAACGCTAACTGCTGGGGAAATGCCAAAAACTAGCATATATAGAAATTTTGCGTTTGTAGGCGTCAACTTGTCAAAAAAACTGAATGGGGGATGACAAACATCCTTTTATCGTAATTGGATTCATCCAATTTTACTCTGAAACTCTCAAATATAACTGTCTAATCATACAGCATTCCCAAGCTTATGACCTAAAGATGTTGTCAACTCTTAGGGACGTTTTTAAAAGAAGAAAGGGTAGTTATGGAAGGTACTAACAATAAGAAGCAAGTAGCATAACAATGGCCTTACCCTCTGTATCTTGCCAGTAAACAACAATATACTGTAAAACCTCAAATTAACACCAAGTGTTCAATGGTCATTTTCCAACTCCAAGATTTCAGAGAATAAGAAAATGAAAGAGAATGAAAAAGAGATTAAGGAGTGAATTGTTTACCGACTGGATCATAAGATAGCCTCGTGCTAAATGAATTCTAATTGCGATACCACTGCGCATGAAAAATAGCAGTAAACAATGTTGATGAGTAAAGAGGGTCGCTTGATGGGCATTACTCTTCCAAGATAAAGATTTGTCAGAAGGACAAGATATGGTAATGAACCTACTGTAGATGTTTCTAGTTTCAAAATTGCAGATCTCCTTTTTACTCAATGGAAACGTGCACTTTTGCAGAGCTCGTGCGAGAGAAGAGAAAAGTTAATGGAATTACGTAGTTCAGTTTTTCAAGACTGAGTTTCAAATGAAAAACAGAAAGTTTGCTATATTCCATTACCTAAATTATACATAGCATTTTAAACGAAGCTCGTGGTTATTGGTGGAATTCGGATGAACCTGGAAAATAGCAAATTCTAAGTAAAAACAAAATTCTAGCATATTCGCTCAAAAAGTTCAAAGAATTTTCGTAGAAATTCTTACTTGAAGTCAGAGAACTATAGATCATATAATCTTTACCTCGATGTACATGACATGAAACAATGTGATGATACGGTTTTGCAATAAGTTCCCATTTTTTCTTTTCAATAATGTTGTTCCTATCGGCTTTTCGAATCTAGAAGCTGGAAGCACCAGCCCCGAAGTTTAATGAGCCTCAATGACGCTGAAAAATTTGCAAAAAAAGTCCGATCTTTAAAAAAATCGAAAACAGAAAACTCATATGGAGACGATTCTGACTTTGATCTTTCAAATTTCCCTAAGAAAGAAAAGATGTTACAACATAAAAATGGGATTTTTAATCTACGAAATCATACCTAAATACAGAAAAAATATTGAAAACATTTGAACACCGATAAGTGGTTAGATTCGGTAAATCTGAGTTTGTTGACCCAGCCAGTTGTATAATTCTTGCAGCAAAGCCAGCATTTGCACAAACAGGAAGTGTTCTAGACGGCGTGCGGATCCCGTCAGAGTCATGCGAGCAGGATGCTCGAATGGCTTTGAAGAGCTTCTGCTTCGCCTCATCCTACTCATTACTGAACTTTGTTAGAGATATACTCAAGGGAGCAGAAGTTGTTTCCGGAGTTGCTGCTTCTGGGGTTCCACAAGAGGTTTATGGGGCACCTGGAAGCAATTTGGAGCTGTTTACCACTAGTCCGCCATGTGTCACAAGCATAAAATATGCTAACGGACAATCGCTTTTTTGTGCTAGTGTCGGTGTTAGTACGTCAGAAGAATGTTACTGGGTAAGCGTTCTTCAGCAAAAACAAAATTCAAAAATATGTGAAGTTTGAACTTGCGCTCATAACAGCTCAGGTGAGCCGACAAAACGCAGAAAATGCAGAATGGCAGCTAGGGGAATGCAGCGCGGCATTGTGCACGCGGACGGCTCCGTATCAGTTACAGTACTCGGAAGTGAGCGTCGACCCAGAGCCATATAGACTTGTATAGTAGGTTGCTCTACGCTTGAGAAATGAAGAGAAATATAAAAAGTCCAGAAATTTCTCATTTATACTACATTTACAATTTCAAAAAATTCGATGTTTTTGCAAAGAATTTGTCTCAAGACTAAAACTGAGTTTTTACCAAGTCAAGCAATCTTTGACTCAATTGCACGATGGGAATTCATGATTTTCTCAAATAAGAGAAAAGCCTGTTGATTTATGTATGGGAACCAGAAACAATATTTACACCACTGGCGGTGTCAAAAAATATTGCAGGGAGGGTTCGACAGGGGAAGAAGATGCAAGATTTTTACCTATGAAAGCCTTTTTATAGGTTTTTTTTACTGTTTTTTTGCAAATGTTTCAGTAATTTTTTGTATTGCAGTTAACAAACACAACGACTCACATCAGTCATTTTTTTTGGAGAAATTCTGTCCAGAAAGCTCATTCATCCTCATTGTTCCAAATTTGTTTGCATTATTTCCATAGCCCAATTTCGAAATACTTGAATCAGGTTCTGCTGGAGGAGGGGAGGGGCAGGAGAGAGGGAGGGACAGAAGCACATTTTTCTCTTCTGCTGTCCACAAGCTTAGCTCTCGAAATCTGCGTTTCGTGCAGTCGGATAATGAGGCAAATTTCAAAGGAATGGGTAAAGAAAAAACGGGAAGAAATTCTTGGCATGTCGTACAGTGGGATACTTACTATGGTAAACTGCTTTACTATCAATCTATGCTTAAATCTCACATGAATAATCAATGCGAACGAATTCTCCGCTCTCTATGCACGAACGGAAGCGGGCACTTTGCGTGAAATGGGCATTCAATTATGCAAAAGTGCAGCAATTCAGCTTTGAAATACGGGAAAGCATACCAAAAGGTCTATGAGGTAAGTGAATAACTCCACATAAGTATGTACAACTTCCTTGGCTTTCAAAGCCGATACGAAAGAGCCCATACGAATAACAGAGCTGGAGAAGCAAAGCTAGAGGGTTGTGTGCTTGTACCGGGCAGAATTTTAGCAGAAATCTGACACTTTCGAAGGAAAATGCATCCGCTAGTTATTTTGACGTAAAAAATGTCCAGCTAAATGTGAAATTCAAGCTACTCCCATGTCAGAGTTTCTGCAAGCTGAAACTGCGTAGGAAGAAAGCTTCGTTTTCTACAATCATATGCAAATCGTTACAGTATACTGGCTGAGTTTTTTAGCAAAAAATCAAATGGAAATTGCTTTGGACAACCAAATCTAACATATGTCATAAGCAAGAACTGCCCCTATAGCTGGTCTACAAAAAATTCGTTTTTTACCTCCCATACAAATATATGAAGTTTGGCCCAGCCTATCCCTAAAACAAGCGTTTTATACCGCTCGACTGAACATGAACAGCTTAGAGTATTCGAGTAATGAGGTACGCAGCTGGAGTTCAAGGAAATTGTGTGGAGCTCCTTAGCGACCCGAAAGTGCCCATTTGGTGTGATAGATGTTTATAGGAATATAAACATACAGGCACAGCAGAGGGGGGGGGGAGTTGGACATAGGTAAAGTAGGAGGTGCTTGTTTTGCCAATATTATAAGCATGCAAGTTGTAACAGTCAATCAACGAATTTTAAAGCCTTTTTGAAAAGTTCAGTCTGTGTGGGAAATGGATGAGAAGCAGCTGTCACCCTAGGGAACACAGACTTGTGATGCCGTTGACTCAATAAGCGTCTAGTTCTTCACTGCTAAAGTGAATCTTGGATAATTGACATTCATTGGATATCTCATTCAAGCTAACACGAACGAATTATCAAAGCGTAAGGGTACTAAGCAGTATTGGCGCCATATTCTTTTTGAAGAAAGATTTAGGAATTGTAGAAAATATCTAATGTGAGATTTTTCGGAAGATTCCTTTTCTAGCTTGGATAAGTTGAAAATTTAGCCAAATTCGCAGACTAAGAATCCAAAGAGGGAAACACATCGAGGATGATTGCCATTAGAAAATCGTGTGTAACTGAAGTGATCCTAGGAAAATCTTCAAAAATGCCTCAGAAATCCCTATAAAATGGCAGGAAAAGTGCATTAGTTAGCTAGACGATGTTACCGTTTGCCAAACCACACAGTTTTTACTGAAACCCAAAGAAAATACGTATGAACTGACTGCTAGGGTAATAAAAAGAGTTTGTAACCCATTTGCACCCCCGGTAGGTCGTGAAGTAGAAAAAATGATACATTCTAGAACAAGTATGAAGCAGTGAGCGATAAATTATAATACAATGATATCGTCAGTTCCAGAAGACATACTCGCAAAGAAGGCTGAAAAAAACCTCCACAATCCACAGAAGACAGAAGGGAGAAGCAGAAAACGTTTTGCATTGAATGGGTAAATGCCTTGGAAGTCCGCAAAGGGCCCGATTCGGACAGCGATGAAATTATTCACCTCCGTTCACGCATTCATTCATGAAGCTTTATAGGAAAAGTGCGAATTGTTGAATGCCTGATGGAAAGAAATGCCACCTTGAGTCCAACCAGGTTCGATATTTTCTCAGTAACTCGAAATAACAGGTCTGATGAAATTCAAAAATCCAAAAGCATGTAAGATTTTGATCGAACAAAACCAACTGCTTGAAAATTTTTCGAAGGGGCTTCATCGTCACCACAGCTTTCTTACTCCCGAACCCAGATCTCGAAAATACTAAATTATCGATGAAAGACCACTCACACTACAACCACCGACTAATGCTTGTTAGGGTGTCTTAAAGTAACTTGGACTAATACTGAATAGAGATCACTGGACCGGAAAAGATAGGAGCTCTAGGAAGGAAATGCACATTTCTGATGTGTGCTGTGGAGACGATGGGAGGGGACGAGGGGGAGGGGGGGGGGGGTGAGAGGAGAGGAGGACCTTACTGGAGCAAAATATCACATCAACTAGTGCGCGTATAGTTATTTAGCTTGAACATAAGAGATTATGAGTATATGTTACCAGGGAACTGAAAAAATGAAGTTTCTGGTAGGGAAGCACAAATCCAGCAAAAATCGTTGTGAAGTGACCTTTCACGCGTTCAAGTAAGCTCAGCAAAAATTGAATTACAAATATGTACGAAGCTGTTGCCGATTTACTCCGGGACCATTCAAATGCTGTCTCGAGCTTATACGATATATGCAAAAAATGCTTGTTTCATAGGACGAAATTCAGATTTTCATGCTTGACAAAACAGCCGTTCAAAAAACGCTGTCAAAAGACGTCATTTAAATTCCCGCAGGGCCACAGGATGCCTAACGTCATAAGGTTAAGCTTATTAAATTTGGTTGAAGCTGTAACAGAGATTTATGCAAAATGCCGAAGAAACACACTGCTGTCGAGCTGCAAAGGTGTTGGGAATAGATTACCGTTATAAATTGTTGTTCATAACTGCTATGGTAATAGTAATACTTTCTAGTATGGAATAGGCAAAACTACACAGACAAAATTTTACTTTTTCAAAAGCGAGGGGTTGAGGTTGGGCGAAAGAGGAGGTTTAGTGCCACTGGGTTTCGTTTAAGCACTCAAAAGCTATATGGAGATTCTTTCACTATACGCCTTATATACTCACCAAAGTTGTTTTTTATTCAAAGCTTCATAAGGAAAATTTCTTCCGGGTTGTTGATATAAAATATGTTGAATACTGAATTATTTCTTGGGACCATAGCTCTACAGAAAAACACTTCACCTGACTGTTGACAAAGCATTTCAAGAAATTAAAATTTTAGGACTTTCTCAAAAAGGCGTAAGACCTATGCCAGGTAAAACATTCCGCAATGGCTAAAAACCGGGAGAACGGGAGACGCGGAATTTTTGAAATACGATCAAAAGGTCGACAAATATTGTAAAAAATAGACTGACCATTTCTTAACCTCCAAAGTTATAAGCTTCAGAATGACCTAAGATGTTTTCAGAATTTTTCATAAAGTGGTTATGTTACGTTTCTTCAGTTGAAAAAATTTATTCTTACCCTACCTTGCGAAAAAATTGTGTACTCAGCCTACGCAAAAGTGTAAAATTTCAACCCCGTCAACAAATAATTTATAGCTAATTAACCTAACACTTAGTTTCATTAGCTAACGACTTGTACGATTGTCATAATTACTATGGATTATTTATCCTCTAATTAAGCATGATTGCTTGAGAGTGCGAAACATTAGGGACGCTTGGATTGAGCACCATAACTATAATTAGTGTCCTCGGACTCTTCGGAGTTTTGCAAATGAAATTCTGCAAGAGGTGAGAATGAAGTCTGGGCTTAATTGCTAAGAGCCTGCAGTGAATCAACTCTCTACAGACGAATCCAAAAACTTTCTGCAGATATCGTTAGCAGTGTGCCTGATGGTCCTTATTAGATGAGAAGAACTGTCAAGTGCTGAGTGTGTCAGCAAATGGAAATTCCAAGAGGAAGAGAAGAAGAATAAAAAACAATAGTGATAGACTGAGGCCTCGAATATTGAAAATTGGTCGAAAGTTTTTCACAAGTAATAAAAAAGGGTAGCAAGATTATTAGACCTTTTATTTTCTTTGCAATATTTGAGTAATTATTGCACTATCAATAAAATTAACTCTTTTCCAGCAGTTAAGGTTTTTTATTCTGAAAACTCCTGCAAGAATTCAAACTGACTTTGTAACAGTTTTTTGGTTAGGGAGAAGGAAAAGGAAGGGATAAGCTAAACTAACTTGAAAAAAAAATTACATCTACACTGACCTGTTATAGACCTTTCACTTTGCTGGTATTGAGAAAAGAGCTTTATGTAGTAGCATTTCTTTGATTCAACTGGATTGGCGCCTGGAAGGCGGGGCTCGTGACCTAGTTAAGATTAGAGAATGATCACAGAGCACGAGAGTGAGAGAGACACCGAGTGCGTCGCAGGTCCAGAGGCCTTAATTTGGTCACGAAACCCGCCTTCCAGCTGGCATTCAGTTGAATCAAAGGTTACTTAATTGAAATTATTTATTCATTTATACATTTGTATGTCATATGTTTATGTATCCAAGAGTTTCATGACAAAAATTATTATCCAATCATCAAAATTAAGATTTAGAGCCGCAGTTCATCGAACAGTAACATTTCTTTTTTTGCACTTCTAAGGCTAAAGAAGCAGAATTTCTGCAGACTAAACATTACGCCTGCGCAATTATGCAGAAAAAATCATATCCGGGTAACACACAAGCTGTTGTCTGGAACAAAAGACCAAAAATGCGCCCCGTAGATGATCATTAACTCGACATTCATCCAATGTCACGAACGTGACGTGAGCGGCTGTCAGCGACCCGTAATGACGATGGTGCTCGCCCACATGCCGACACTTTCAACGTAGGTCCGAAAAAGAAACTAAAAACGCCTTAAGGGGTGAAAAAGGAGAAAAGCGCATATACTGAAGATTTTTTGAAGATTCTCTCGAAAGATAGGCGCTGAAAGCACTGCTCATCGATGCAGCAGAGTGGGAAGCGCTCGGCGGAGTTTTTTTTATGGAAATGCGCTTTTCTGCTGCTGAGCATGCCAATCTAGACGATTGAAGGTTTTCGAGCAAGTTTAATAAAGTTTTGCAGCGAGAATTTCTGCTGAGCTCGGATTGTAGCTAAATTTCCACGGGGAGCACGCGCGGGGAGGGGAGCGAGAGGGAGGGGGTAGGGTAGAAGATAAATTGTTCGTAAAAGGTTTCAAGAGCAGCCCAGATTTTAAACATGATGTCAAAACGCGATATAAAAATCTCTAGTGGGTATAAAATTACGACTAATTTTCATGATCAAACCCGAGCTGTCGTTCAGATCGTATCTTCTCCAAACTTATCAATGAGCGTCCTTGAGTACGGCCTGGGCAAGAGCTCAAAGACGAATTTTCATATGACTGCGGCTTGTGCAATGGGCTAGTGAGATACTTACCGACCTCAAACATTAAAAAAAATCAGGCACCAAAATTTGCTTATAGGGTGGGTGGGTAAAGATGAAGAAGCGCCTTGCACTATTCCTGTTCAAAAATAGGACCAAAATCCAAAGGCTGTGGTTCCAAAACTTCTGCGGAGACGATTTCTTTCGTAAGCAAAAACTGTTTATTTGAATAATTTAAACATTCAACGACCACATCTTGTACTTCTTCTTCTCCTCCTTTTGGCAATATGGAATCTCCTTATCGCCTGTGTACCTAAAAATGTCAGACAATACATCCACCAATCCTCAAAAATTCATAGAAATGCCCATTGCAGAACCTACCATGTGCAAATGAGGTACGAGAGGTGATCCATCATCATCTGTTCGCTTTCTATCGAGATGTCGTTGATTACTACCCAAGGCACATGTCGATGTTTGTCGGGCCAAACACTATCTGGAAGAGATATTCAGGTGAAAAGTGAAAAAATTATTTGAGTGTATAAATTCATACCAGTTCTTTCACCAGCTTTCTTTTGGAGTAGTTCTCCAAGTCGTGATACTAGACAAGATCTGCAAAAAATGTTCATTATTGCGAGAAATTGAAGACGATTTGCTTAGTGCACAATTTTTTTGTAAGAAGGCTGAGGTTCTAGATAATCAAAGCATCTAACAATGCTAATTCTATGAAGGAACGATTTTTTATGAAAACTCAAAAACTTTGAACAAGAATAATAGATGGTACATGCCCCATTGTTATTCGCTTATACAAATGAAGCTACTTTATAGACTTTACAAAATCCAGATTAGCTTCGCAGAAACGTTGTTAACTCAAGGTTTAATGGCGCCGCCTTTTTCCTCAAATGTAGAACTACAAGCTTGTTGAAAAATTGAAAAGCATCTCATGCTAAGAGACTTTCTCACAGGACAAGCTACGTCCGAACTTTTTCATTCTCTAAAATAAACCCCGAGGCTTTTATCAACCACTTAAAGAAAAATTTGTAGCATCACCAGTAATTCTCCTTTCATTCGCACAGCAATTTCTGCAAACGAAATAATCACAACTACTTTCAAGCCTCCAAAAATTGTGCCAAGGATACGATCACTGATAAAGACTTGTACGTGGCTGCACTTTTACATTCTTTCTAAGTCCACTTTGGTTAGATTACGGTATTCAGAGAAACTTACTGAACCAACATCTGAATATCCGTACTGATAGATTGTTTCTTGAAACATTTCTCTGCAGCCGTTTCGAATGGAACTTTATACTGAATACATAATTATGATTTTCTCGAATAGTTTTTACTAAAAATAATTTTACCTGCAAATTATTCTCCAGGCAATAGATGAAAGGTACATATTGGTCTTGTGCTTTGACTGCATCGATTAGACATGATTCGAATTTATTTATTTTGCATTCTTCCGGTCCATGCTGACACTGGATCGTTCCGTTCTAGAGCATTCTTGGACCATGAATCTATCAAGAGATAACATATAAATTTACAACTTACTACGAAGTGTGCATTTCCATAGGGGACGAGTTCAAGGTTGATGAAATTGGCGAAATTTTTGTAGACATTTGGGTAGAGCTCTTCGACTATGTAACGTTGACAATCAGGGCAAAGAGCTTCGATAAGAACCGTAACGTTTATTCGCTTGTTGTTGGTACTGCTGCGGTATCTAGCAAAAAAAACTTGATTTCAAATACAGAAATACTTGATCTCAGTAAAATAAATTATGCAACAAACATGAATTTGTCTGATGTGAAAGCACTCATTCGGGCTCTTAAAAATGCAAAATATGCTCTACAGCCACAAATTAGACGAAAGGTATTTTTTGGAACGTGCAAACGTATGAAAAAATAAAAATTTGTTCTCACCGGTCGCACAGCTTGTCAAATCCACATTCAGTGCTCAGATTTTTGCTACTGCACCATAATGATGGAGGAACAGAACCACATCGATCCGAAGAAACGAAAGATAGACCAGCAATTAGCAAGTAGAGCAACATCTTGAAAAAATGCTGGTAGTAAGAATGTTGTAAAACACCAACTTCGATAAGCGAGAGAATGAAAGGAATGAAATCAGCTATCGCCAAGAGTTTACATCGATTGTTAAGACCGATTGCTTTCGGAGATATCTAAAATCTCGTGCAGGCCACAGCAAGAATGACTCTTTTGCAAAAGCAGATTTGTCCAAGAAAACTAATGCAATAGTCGTTTGCTGCACTCTAAAAGATAAGATAGCACTTGTTATGCACTTAGGGAGCACGGGACCTCTAAATATGGAGCAGAAAACACTTGCGCAACTGACGGTCAGATTTAAGGAACGTCCAAAAATTGCAAAGAAAATTACTCGGCTTAGGATAAGATTAGCTCAATAAAATCGAATCAGAGGCCAGATGTATGTCAGCTGTTGTGTGGTCATTGTTCTGTCTGTTCTATTTACTCATCCTCATCGACGGGTGTGAACCCGATAAAAATTTACAGCCTGTAGGTGCAGTGAAAGATTCGAATAACTTTGAATATTTATTTGCCTGAGCTGTACAGATATATTAAGTTTACATAGTAAGTCGTAAAAAATTATCAATATCCCGGTGGTAGCCTTGGTGTGGGACAGTGGTCGCAGGATCCATTTACTCCAGGTTCTCCGGGTATGCCGCGTTCCCCTTTTTGTCCTGGTCGACCTGGTGTTCCGGAATTCCCACGGTCTAAAGAACTCTTTGACTTATAACAGCCGGTGCCAACACTCAAAAAACTGGTGGACCTACCTCCTGGAGCGCCTTGTTGTCCAGCTATGCCTGGGAGCCCTGCTCTTCCCTTTTCACCTTTCGGTCCACGCGGACCGGGTTCACCCGGAGTTCCAGGCGGACCGGCAGGTCCGGCAACCTTGAGAGAGATTTAAGTTCAAAGAGTGTTTGGGTAACATGAAAATTATACATACCAGTATAACTCTTCCGGGTTCACCCTTAGGACCCTTGGCTCCCGGCCTTCCTGGTCTACCGGTAGGTCCATGAGGCCCGATAATACCTGGTTCACCCTTCTTTCCGTTCTGGACATGGCAGGATGTAGACAGATTAGTATGTATAGAGGAAACGATATACACTTACGCTTCCAGGTATTCCAGGGCTACCACGAGGACCTGGAGGTCCTTTAGGTCCCATCGCTCCGGGTAATCCAGGTTGTCCAGTTGGGCAGATTATACAAGGCTCTGGTGGTGCACCAAGAGCCGGTAGAACAACTCCATTTCTACCAGGTTTGCCGTTACGTCCAGGATGTCCATCGAGACCATCCGAACCATCGTCCCCGGGAGGTCCTGGAGGGCCCGCTGGACCTTGCTGACAGGTGCAGCCTAGATGCAAAGGGATTAGATTGTCTAAGGGCAAAGCCAACCCTACTTACAAGCTCCCTGCTCAACTCCTGTGACTTTCACATCTTCATAGCCCAAAGGACGAGTGGAGGAAGAAGCGCTACCATCATATTCTGATTTCAAGAATAATTCCCTCTCTCTTCAGCTCAGAGTCCCACTCACCATTGCTTTCTCCTTTCTCGATCCAACGCCCAAATGACCATTCCCTTCGCACTCTTGATTCCGCTTTCTCTGAAAGTGACTGTGCCCGATGAATATTCAATGAATCTTGCGCTGCAAACACGTCCACCCATAAATCTCGGGTTTTCGCCTGCAAATCAGAATTAGTGGATGGATCCGGATGGCTGTGGAGGCATGGGTTGATAGATGGAAAACTCACCCTACAGTAGTCCAATTCACTCGACATGTGGGTTTGCATTGCCTGTACATAATTGTACACTAATGGTAGCGTAACGACAGAGGACAACACGGCTGTGGTGGAGATTAACACCTGAAAAGGGGAGAAAAGATTTGTTATTTTGTAAATTATGGCTGCTCTGCTCTACGATATTTCTGCTGAAGTTTAGATTAATTTTCACGAAATTTGAGTCTTTCTCATAGTGACTTCTAGGCATTTTGTTAATTTCAAAAGTTCTAACCATTTTCGAAGACTAGGGCAAAAATTGCATTACCATACCAACTTTGGCATTTCTATGCATTCCCAAAATAGGAGAATCGCCAAACATCTCCTTTCAGGAGCTTTCATTCATAAACGTTGTAGGCCTATTCTCAATATATTGAATTAAATTTCTATGATTGCACTGCGCTTATGATTTTTATGCGACCCATAAGGACTATAACGACAGGTCGGTGCCAGAAATTTGTAGGTTCAAAACGTTCCCAAAATCATTTCTCAATCATAATTTTGTAGAAGAAGCTCCTAGCAAAGTTTATGTAAGCAAATATTTTGCTTTTTTGGCTGTAGGAGGAAAAAGGAAAATTTCTATGCTGTCCTGTCAAAGCAAAACTCCATAAGAATAAAATCATGCGTGAAATACCAGAGGAAAAGAACTAACTTTCGAAAAATATAACCAAAATTTTTGAAAACTGGTCTCTCCTACAAAGTCAACGGTCTAAAAAGGGGTACAAGCGGACAAGACTTTTGAAATAACTTTTATTATAGCAGAAAACTCACTGCTATGAATGTCGTCCGCTTCAGCCTTTCCGTCTCAGACATGTCCTTCAAACAGTACTCCATTGTGAGTGTTTCTAAATATTACCTCGATTGATCTTGTCGAAAAATGTTGGAAAAAATTTGTTTCTCAAGATGGTATCATGTTTAATATTTTTTTGCTAGTATCTGCGTTTGCATCTTTCTCCGATCGCTGTTTTGGATACAGTATTCTTAGGTAAAATGTCTATGAAAGTAATTATCCAAGTTTCCTTTGACACATATCTAATCGAACACTAAGGCAAACCTAGAAAAAATGCAAGGAAAAGAGTATCGAGAACACATGGGCAACTCTATTTTGTAAAATCTGCAAGTGCACACCTTAGCAAAGAAACCCCTACTGTATCTAGTTAGATGAGTAGTAGACGTAAAGCTGCGTACAATCACATAATTAGTACAGAATGAGTATCGTAAGGACATTGTTGTAGGCTCTAATTAGTCAACAGCTAATCCGTCACCAAGTATGTGACCGTGCATGTTAATTGCATAATTCTAATTCAAGTTGTGAACAAGAGATAATGCAACGTAAGATGTAATGAACAACAACAAAGCTTATATAGGCTGAATGTGTCGAGCGGAGATGGGTGCGGCCAGATATGCAACGGTGGGTCGTATTTTGAGGGTGTTCGTAATTGTAAACATCACATTTACAATGGCTATCGCGAAAACGGTCAGAATTGCGGATCTCGCTCGGAAATGGGACAATTTAATGGGATGGCTCAATGCCGCATGGGTTTGTAGACGTCGATGATAGAACGCCAAGGAATTAGTTAACAAGGAGGGCTACAAATCTTTGATTTTCCCCCAACATCAGCTAGTTTTTCTTACCCCGTTAGGATGTGGGGTATCATCCGGTAGCTTCAAGTGCTCCGTCTGGGCATCGTCTGTTTACAAGATCCCCACGGGTAAGGATCGTCTATCTGTCTTGTTATTCCGTTACTGTATCTGTTTTGCATGTGGGTCATTGTATCTATCTGATAAAGCAGTTACGCCGTTCTCAAGCAGCATCCAACGTATGGTGCACCGGCTCATATGGTAACAGGTACGATGTTGATTTACTTTGAGCTTTGCGCAACCATGCTTTGCTTAATGAACCTCGTTCTGTCGCATCCATTATAGGCTGCTGCATGACGAAGGCGTAATATTATAGAATGAATGGATGGAATGGATCTTTGGATGCAAACGCGGCTCTATTGGCCGTAGAGCGCATCAGTAGCAGGGTTTACAACGGTGAAGATGCGCGAGCGCCAAGTTCGCGCCCACTCAACTAATACTGCTTTTGCGCCTTCGTCACAGTACCCTTAATCCTCTTATATCAAATATGGCAAGAACTTTCTCGTTTCTTAATAAGCTCTTCCGACTCGCTTATATAAATTTGAACAATGTAGTTTCGCATAATGAAGGGGATCTCTGCAAGAAGATCAAGATTGCATAGAACGTTCTTTTCAACGCCATTCATTGTTGGCTAGCTTATTTAATGAAGAACAAGAAATACAGACGCCTGAGTAAATGGAGAAGACACAAGCTGCAGATTATGCAGAAATGATCATAATAAATAATGGCACTACTGCAAAGCTTTTCATCCTATATATAAAGCTGACTGTCTGTTCGTCTGTATGTCTGTCTGTCTGTCTGTCTGTGTGTACGATGTATGTTCCGATTAGAAAATTCGTTTCTGAACCGATCCGGACCAAACTTGGTACATATACACTTCGGGCCCCGGCGGGTGTCATAGGCTACCTTTGGTCATCGATCGATATCGATTTTATCGATTTTTTGCAAAATTTGAGCTACGGGGCTGGGAGTTGGCACAGGGGGGGGGGTAATCGAGTATGCTGATTACGAATATAATAATGACAGGGCCGGACGGAGCCGGGTAAGTCAACTAGTTCTTCTTAAAGTTCAAAAACCTCAGTCTTCAAATTCTCCATCGGTGAAAAATGCTTACAATTAGCTTCCTGCTGCGCTTTAACACGTTGACGACGAGCCATTTTTTTGAGGTCTGTCCCTGTGGACGAGACGTTTCCGTGCATTCCTACGCCTGGCCGCATGTATATATGCATGCATCCATGCACGAAATGTAAAATGTGCAAGCCCCGCCCCCATGTGGCAAGCTCCGCAAACTCGGCCAAAAATGTCGGAGATTGCTCAAATTTCAAGAACTCATGCGATTTCCGCCGCTTTGAAAAATGGGCGGAGCTTGCCACTCAGGGGGCGGAGTTTGCGCGACGGTGGGGGGGGGGGAGGCCTAGCCATAGGTTGTTTGAGGTCTTTGCGTTTCTACGGCCTCATCCAGCTTTTTATGAAGAAAAAGGGTCCCTGTGAGAGGCATGGGAGTGGGCGGAGTCTGCTAAAAGGGGCGGGGCTAATACATGAAGTACATCTGAGCCTATGTTGATTATATGAACAAAAACTGAGAGGATTGGACAGATAGTATTGAAATTAAGGCCGCCGCGCACCATTGCGCGGCACTGTCGTCAACGTGTTAAGAAGAAGCACGGAATGCAGGCAAGCAATGATTTTGTCTATTTTATGTCTATCAGTGAAGGATTGGTGGCTTCTGTTTGTATAAGATAAGAAATTATAGATTCAAAATCATGTCATAGTATAACTTGTACACCTGCTAAATAGCTACAACAACTACCAAAAGGAGTCTCTAACCACTGGTTTGAATCTTCCAGATCTAAGTTGAATAACTGAATCTTTTATGACTACATTTCGGGTGGACTCAAGGTTTGCGTCGATTTCTATATAAACTTCGAAGAGCTTTGTTCCTTGCATGATAATGAATATTTTGAGACCGCTTCTCGTCCTAAGCAAGTTCAGGCCTGTCATTACTATCCAGCTACGCCCGGCCATAGAGCATGAGGTCTTAGTATTCACTTGCTGTAGGCACTCAGGCGCTGTGACTTTTCTAGGCTTTGCATGCAGTTGATACGGTCTTGCTCACATTTATCTTTATCTTGAAAGGACTGATATTCACACGCCTCTGTCTACCACAATACCCTTAACAAACGTTTTCTGCTGTGAGTTTGACTGCCGCCCCTGCCAAAATTCTCTACGGATATGTATGCAGAAAATTTCTACTCATGTTATTATTTTTCTCCTTATTTTTTGCTTAGCTATTGCATCTCTTACTAATTATGTCTCTGCATTATGTTAATTTTGAGCGCAGCCGACTCCTGCTAATTCTTATAGTCCAGTGCATCGCTAACATATATAGACGTTGCCAATGTGCACATCTTTCTTCAATTGTTCTCGGAGCTTTGGTCACCCTCTGTAAGCTGTGTTTGCTCGCTAGTATACCCCGACCGAATGTTTACTTCGCTTTTATGGAGTAACATCAAGACCTGTTGCGCAAAGTATGGCATGGGCAACCTTCAATAATTTTATACAAACATAAGTTTGATACCAACAAACCAATAAAGTCTTTATGCAAGATGGTCCCTGCCGTCATCCTTTTTATAGATTTTGGCGGTTTGAGGTGAGGTGATGATATGCTCGTCTTCTATTCTTTTTTGACTAACTTGACTTTTGCTATTTCATTATGCTGTGGAGCATTGAGCTCATCAAATTAATGAAAAAATAGGAGTAGAAGATATTAGGTCGCCAATAGGCTCCATCCACGCAGACAGCTATCATAAGGCAGCAGCGGTTTGTTGTAAATGTCCGCGTGGGACCTCCTCCTTCGGCGACCTGATATCCTCTACCCAAATAGTGATTCTGATTCATTTACACCGTGTGACTGACCAGACTTATGATTTGTGTTTTTTGTATTCTTTTCTTTTTTGAAGGCTCACCTTTAAAAAAATGAATATGGATAACTAAAAATAAACATAAAAAAATAAATATGTATTATGTATTAATAAATTTAACTATGTATTTCATGAATAAATGATTCCTTGCACATTACATATAGTAGTAATGACTACGAAATTTTGCCCATCTAATTCATCACGAAAGCTAATACTCGTCTTATTTGTATCTCTGTTTGTCATATTGTTTGTCATATATATTCAATATAAAAGCATTAGAGTACTACTACAAAGAGCATATTTCCTTATTCTAACAAAATTTCAATCAGGCAACGAGACAGCGAAACATTACACCGCTGGCCAGCCTGCAACAAATTGGCAACTCTTTATTCTTAGCGCAGAATAACACTTTGACAGATCGGCACATAATAAGTTTTTTAGAATATGTTGTCAAATGTTGTAAAATCATCTCTGATGCTTCTATGTGTACTGATTGTGAAGCGAATTGTGCTTCCGTGGTATTCTTGCAATAAATGACTTCTGTGCATTTGTATTTGTATTTGGTATATAGAATGGGTAAACTGCAAATGTTGTTGAGAATTGTAGTCGAGTGCACGAGATCGCCCGGAGACGCCTGCGAGCGTGTCACTTGCGGGCTAACATTGGCGTTCGCGCGCATGAGTCATCATAGCGCCCGTACTCGACAGCCGCGTTGCAGGCACGCTCGCGTGCGTTCAGCCTAAAGCGACCCGGGCGATTTCGTGCACATCTGTATATATTCTCGATGATAACAGTGATTAACTTGGCTTGCACATAAGTGTTGAAATGTAAGCCTTCTGAAAAGTGGTCTAATATTTATTTAGATCTAGAATTCCTCATAAATTGAAATTATAATAAGTTCTGGACGGTGTTGACGGGTATTAGAACGCACTAGTGTCGGTCAAATTACAATCGAGGAAATGCCTTCAACCCTAGTTGTGGTGGACCTCGATTTCCAACATTTGACAAGTTGCAATATCTTATGCCGCACATTACTGTTGATGAACCCCAGCGCCAATCTGAAAAGGGGCAGTGAGTCCGAGTCATTATTGGCAATTAACTTACATGTTAAAATATGCGAATACAACATCGGATATCTTCTGTAAATGATTCATGTGGATATCATAGAATGACACATCCAAGATGCTCCGCAAAAAAGTGGTGAATACACTGATAGATCCAATCACTACTGTCTGCGAAAGTCACATAAGAAGCGAATTAAGGCAAAAGAAGTCTTACCGTCAATATTAGCTGAATTTCAGAGCGATAAGCAGCTGTGTTGATACCCGCAATCTTCTAGATAATAAAAATATATCAGAAATTGTGATACACGTTTCTCTTTTGAAAAATTGCTACGCTAGCATTAGAGATTTAGACCACAACAGAGCAACTCATTTCTAGAGCTGAATATGCGACCGAGTGATGGAATAAAGATGATTTGTTGATGAATTTTTACGCAATTCCGCGCTGGTTGCGGTATGTCAAATTGCTTACTTCTTCCAGAGTTTTTTACGGCTATATCATTATAACAGCTAATTTTTCAAATCAGCAAAGCGTTCAAACCCCATACACACATATTCGACAAGTATGACATGTCGAACAATTAATGCCCTTGAATATATAGGTCCAATGAGGATACTGAGTGATTTCCCTCCCCTCCCTTCTCAAAATGGGCTGCAAAATTCTAAGCAGCGTATGACTACGTCCGCGAAAGCGGCTTAATTAGACTCAATACGTTAGGTTGTATAGTCGTCCTCACCCCACTAGTCGGTCGGTGGTCGAATTTGAATTCGAATTGGAGCAGGCTGACCGCGGCAGAGCGCGGCGGACGCCGCCCCTTAGCCAACCGCTTGCACATGAGCTTTTCTCTTATTTTCCTCGTGTTTCTTTGCTATTTTTCGTATTGCCAATGTTCTTTATCAGACTTTCAGATTTCGCACCGCTAACTATTGTTTTGTGCAGTTGTACTCGTTTGTTTTACATTTTTCCCATGTAAACCGAAAAGAAGGATGCGATTGGAGATTTTTGGATGAGAAATTTCTTTTTTCCGGTAAGTGACATATGCACAAATGTGATTTGATGAAATGTGTAAGTTATTCTTTTTGCGGTAAGGCTGAAATCTTTCAAAAAGTGTATGTTTTAAAGAGTTAGCGCTAGAAATCTGAAAGTCTGATCAAGAACATTGTCGCAATACGAGAGATAGCAAAGAAACACGAAGAAAATAAGAAGAAAGCTCGTGCAAGCGGTTGGCTAAAGGGCGGCGTCCGCCGCGCTCTGCCGCGGTCAGCCTGCTCCAGTTCGATTTCAAATTCGACCACCGACCGACTAGTGGGGTGAGGACGACTATAACATAAGTTTTGAGACACTCTCACTTTTTGCGGCGATAAGTCATAAAGTTCACATTTCCGGTAGTTGTCCAGGATAACTTTCGATAGCAAAGCAAGTTCTACAAAATATTCTGCAAATTTTCGCGCCAGCTTCGATCCATTTAAGTTTGCATCCCAAAACTGAGTCGTACTGGCTCAAAAAATCGCGAAAATTCATACCTTCGTTCAAAGAAATCCTACAAATTTCCAACTTGCTCATAAAAATTGCACACTGCATTAGGTACTCATATATACCGTTCCTGAATTTCTTTCCCATTTAGAAGTTGAGAACGCGAAAATTCTTATATTACAATTACATACAGTTACATGAATAAAAACAGCAAAGCTCCGTTTTTGTGAAGACATTGAAATTTCCGCTTACTCGATTTCTGAATGAGAAAAAATCCACGAACGGTACATATGAATGTCGATGTAGTGTGCAATTTCTGTAAGTTGGAGATTCGTAGGATTTGTTTGAACGAAGATATGAATTTTTTGCGATTTTTTGAGCTCTCAGTAAGACTCAGATTTGGGCTGCAAACTTACAGTGGATCGAAGTTGGCGCGAACTTTTGCACACTCTCTTGTAGAGCTTGCATTGCTCTATAAAACGGTTTCATGGACCCCTATCGGAAATGTGGACTGTATGATTATCGCCGCGGAAAGTAAGAGTGTTTCAAAACTTATGTTACAGCCTAATAATTTTTCGAACGTTATGAAAATCCGGAACGTTGCTTAATCAAAATTCTAGGCTTATAATTCGCTGATTTAGAAGAATTTCTCGGAGCGCATAATTGATAGACTTGTAAAATTGTGTTGCTCCGTCCATTTATGAGGTTATGTGCAGGATTTGTGCTGCATTAACCGCGGCGTCAACAGTCATTTCTAAACGCATCAGTCTGCAAAACTTTGTTGCGTGCATCTCAAATTGTATATGAATCCAAATACTTCCGGCACACCAAGTTGCGTTCCAAAATGCGCCAGGTATATCCAAGAAACTTATTAACATCGCTGCAATTATCTTTAGAAAACAACCAGCGGATACATTGTAAAGGTTTCAATAACCTCTACTTGGCAACATCAATGCTTGCTTTTTGAATTTAGCCATGCGTTTTTTTTTGAGTGACTGAGCAAGCTAACTTACATATTTCCTTTTCCACTGTAAGATAAGCACCATGAAATCAATGACTGTGCACACAGCCAATAGTGCGTAACTGAAAATGGCGAGCACAAGTTCGTGAGTCCATCTGCAGAATGTGATATGACGTAGCCATAACATGAGCGCTGGTGCGAAAACATAGAAGCAGTCACCTGATTTTGATTTTGACAAGAAGAGATATGGGATATTTCACTCGAATTATATCGTAAGTTTACCTAAGCCAAAGGCGTAGAAGGGAAACGATGGTGTACAGATCAGAAATATTGCAGTGATCATGAACGCACTATTTCGCAAGGTAAAAATAAGAGGATAATATCTATAGAAAGTCACTGCACAAAATCGATTAAGAGACATTAAGATCTCCAACGAAATCAGAAAGAATCTCGTATACAACTTAGCACCACCAACAATCTGCGACACAGTGATAGAAATGTCGTCCACGTGCTCTCTAAATAGTTGAAAAAAGAACTAAATAATTATTGGCTTTGAAAGAAGCTTTACCCCATTTTGCTCAGAATATAACGAAGGACAAGTGCATTTAAGACTACATCACATATTAGTAGTAGCGATATAGCAGCACAGAATGACATCGTAAAAGTAATGAACACACGAGAAATAGAGCTTTTCCATAGACCAACTACTACGCAAATAAGCAGAATGAAACCAACGATATCCAACTAGAAAAGGGAAAGGCATTCTCTCATAAACGTTATGTACATCTTGGCTCATGGTAAAATCAAGATCCATCGCAGATTTTCGACCTGGACCAATATAAGTGAGGAGAGCCCTTTTCAATTTGTTCTAGGTCTATCAAAGATAGCCCTAACAGGTTACCCATTTTAGAGCAAACTGCCCTCATCCAGAGCAATTTGGAAAACACTTCCGTTTAGCTCCACAGAAAGATATAGAAAAAATGTTTTTTTTTTGAATTTCTGTCGCGTCTGCTTTCTTTAATTTCTCAGAGCTCGATACAGATCGGAACCCGGCACAGATCGTCTGGAAGCGGGCTGGACTTCGTTTTTGGAGCAAAAAACAAAACTTTTTGATGGGGTTTGGAGCGGATAAGCGAACATTCAGTCAAACACAAGATTTCAGACAGGTTATTACACGATTGACATGCGATATCGTGTCCTGCGAAAAGTGCGCGCGATTTGAAAGTTAGGCTAAAATAAACAAATCGCTTGTTTACAGCGCACATAGAATCATATGACATCATAAGTGGACTATATTCATGGAAAATCATTTGTGGAAGAATTATGTGAAAAGATTTGAATTTATGTGTAATAATACCTTTTCGGAAATTGGATAGTTTCCAGAAGGTCACCAGACAATCTGAGATCATCTGGAGCATAAATTTTTGTCACTACACATAAGTTCGGATTTTCTTTTTACCTGGACGGATGCCTCGGCCAATATTATATCCCAGAGCATAGATACATTTCCATATCCCCCTTTGTCCAGTGTTTTTTGCCCTCTTTTTTTCAAAAACTGCCTTTTTAGACATCGCGCTACAGCGTCAATTCTTTTGCGTCCTCCTCGTTTGAATTTCCACTTTCAGTTCCAGTTTTTGAAGTTTTGGTTACCTTTCGGCTTAGAGTGTGGAAGTTTTTGACTATATTTTGTTTCTTCCGCTCCATTTCTCATTTGTGCGCTATACCTCCTTTTAGAATAATTATCTTCACTATTTGAACCACTGAATTTTGTTTCTTCGCTCCCATTTCCCCTTTGTACTGCTATGTCTCCTTTTGACATCATTATGTCCATATTTGATCCACTGACAGTTGGAGGATGGGGTGGGGGGTACATAGAGCAAGGGTCAAAGGGGACTTCGTTCTCAAAAAGCTTACAAGGAAACGAACTTGGTGTCCGCGGCCTTTTGAGATGAAACGTAAACCACTACATTCGTCTTGGGACGCCGATTCCGAATCTGACTTCCGTTTCTGCTAATCGTTTTTAGAAGAAGTTGTAAGGGATTTTTTGCATCAATGGTCGCCCAAAGAAATACAGGCCCGTAGTAAACCCCTATTCAGCCCAACTCGGCTGGGGGCGGGCCTACGTTGAACGTAGAACGAATCAGCCCGGCATCCGGTGAGCTATTGATTTGGTTCGTGATCGCTTTCTAGACATGGAAATCTTGTAGGCTCCCAAAAACTCAACAACTTGAGCAGGTTTGGTCCAGCGGCTAAGTGAATAGGTTTCAACGCGCAAGACCATGGTTCGGGGTCGGCTAGCGGCGAACTTTTGCGCCACCACGGACAATCTTTGATAGTGGCCGCCATCGAGAAAAATCGATGGCGACCGCTATCAAGGCTATCGCCAAGCAAATAAAGGGATAAAACACAACTACCATATTTTGATGAAAATATCATGAAAAACGAAAATTTTGAAACATAGAGCAAATGAAAAAATTAGAAAATCCCTGTTTCAAGCAGTTTTTGTGGAGAAAACGTAAGCAAGCTCTGAAAAAAAAAGAAATCCGTGAAATCCTGTTTTCTTGCTTTTGTCGCCGCAATCAGCTGTTCATTGATCCTCTCCCATTAAGGCCGCCGAAATTGTGCAATTTCGGGAGTTTTGCACCGCAGCAGTACGTCAGCTGAATTTTCCCGTAAGTTACTCACGAGCAACTTACGGAAAATTTGTCTGATCTTCCTCTTAAGCACACTATCTCTCTCGGGTCACCCGAAAATTCAACCTCGGATAAGTGGCATTCTGGTGAACTGACTGTGACACTTGACCCGACAGTCTTCTGACTGTTGAACTGACTATCCTGAAGCACGGGAAGGTGGGCGGGATTAGGTTCACCCGAGGAAGTTCTTCTGAATGACTAATCTCAAGTCACCTGAGATGAATGGAGGTTTACTACGGGCCACAGTCGAGGATGCCTAGTTTTTGAGAAGAAGCTTGATTGAGAAGCAAAACTCAAAAACACAATAGGACTCGAACTCAAACCTGCATTAACTTGCGAGACTATCGCACTAGCCACTACACCACATCTTATTGTTAGCTGCGGTTCTGGCATTTCGACCACATCTCCTTTGGCGCAAAAATCCTTCATAACTTTTTTCCGAGAAAAGATTAGCAAAAACGGAAGTCAGTTTCGGAATCAGCGCTCTAAGACGAGTGTAATGGTATGCATCTCATCTCAAAAGGTCACAGACACCAAGTATCGTTCCCTTGTTAGAAACGGACTGCCGGGCCCGATACAGATCTCCAAAAAACGTTCTGTGAATTAGGACGAGAGCATTCTATGACATAAATTACTGTTCATTCTTTCTCAGCAGTTTTTACCTGGTACTGCTGCGAGATGGCAACGATTTTCACCCTGATATGTGTTGAGCTTATATCTATGAAGTAGAAAATGGTGTGTGTGTGTGTGTGTGTGTGTGTGTGTGTGTGTGTGTGTTTATAGGTAACCTAGTAACCTATAGGCGGCGTTGTGCGTGCACCCGAGTTGAAAATTAACACACATATTTCAACGATGTCGGCGATCATTGTTGCCGATTTTTTGCGGTGATGTATTGTGTTCTTGCATAGATTTGATATTATTGATTTGTTTGCTACATCTTGAAAATGGAAAATTGAACTTTTCTAAGCAAGCGTATCCCATAGTCATGTGAGCGGAGAGGTGCCCATTTAAGTTTCAGGATTACGATGATGAGATGAGTCAAAGTGGAGTTGTTTTAATTGAAGCTAATATGTAAAGGGGCGATCTCGCAGTGCAGTAAGTATGCTGGCGACCAAGCAATGTTGTATATGGTCTGGGCTGAATCGACTGGTACAAAAATATGAATGCCCTTATCCGCTGCGCTTTGATTCAAAACAGCCACATTCGACATTAACACGTTTCGGACCGGTGCTGCACATGGTGCAGCACGCTGCTTTGAAGGTTCTTTCTGAAGTTTGCAGGAGGTTTTCTTTAAGTCCGAAGTAATTGAGTCAAAGATCCAAGCTCTTACTTTTCAAATGACTCTGTAGAGCTGTACCGCCGATATTTGTTTAGAAGATATGAGGACAATTCGAACAACAGTTGCAACGAAGTGCGGCAACGCGAACGACGCGTGCGACGTCGCAGCTTTTCTTTTCTCCGATTTCAAAGAGATAAACCGTAGTTTCAATAGTGACGAGTACAGTGTACAACATAGATACTTTTGGATGCTATTTGAAACTGAGTCCGTGCTCCTATCTTTCAAGAATTCACAAAAGTCCCTCTCAAGCGACAAAATTCAAACGCTTCGAATTCACCCAGAACTTTGGGTATGGAGCTTATCTGGCATGCTGATTACAGATGTAGTCCACGTCTGCGAAATAAGGTTCTTCTGCTGGCTAACGGCCGAAAGTGCACTCTTTTTCGCCGCGCGCGATTTCGCGGTCCGAAACATGTTAAATTAGGTACGATGCTGCAGCAACGTAACATATCAAATATATAAAAGTACCTACTGTGCAATCTATAATCAGGTATAAGTTGAAATACATGACAAACACTTCGTCACGACTCTCATCAACATCCGAGCCCGCCGTTGGATCATAGCCATCCTGTGTTGGAGGAGGAGGAGGATCAGGGACGTAAGAAATTTTTGGCATCTGAAAAAGAATACTTACAAGGGAATGGTCAGAAATCGGAGTGGCTGATTCAAACAAACAGCATAGCATTAGCTGCAGCATATGACTACATATATGCCTTCCTTGTCCGCTGAGCACTTTTGCGGACGAAGCTATAAGTTCTGAAGGCCATTGTTTTTGCAAGAAATCGTGCGCGTGAAGGATACTTTTAGCCTACAGAGTCATGATCTTTACAGGGTCAAAACATGCAGCTAAGTTACTCGATTTGGCTCATACCTAAAGGTGAACGAAAAAGGCCACAATGTGCTTACTTTTCACAAGGCTTGTGTACAATTTTTTTTACATTAAATCTGTTCATAACTTGCCTGCAAAGGCGCTTAGCAGATAAAAGTGTCATCATTTTATGCTATTTTATGCTGCATAGAATGGTATACAGCCTGTTTGAAATGGCTATTTTGGCTTCTGACCATTCCCTTGTTAAAAGATTAGAAGAAACATTTGGACCCTTTAACGCAGCACTATTTAGCCTTCTCAGATGGTTCTTGTTTTTTATTTCAAGCGTAAACAATGACTGCAAAAGAATGAAGATTCAATCTGGAGTGAATCAGCGTCCGGGAGATAAAAGGCAATATTGATGCGAGCCAAGTATTTTTCTGTTTCGGATACTGGTTTCATTAAAAATGCGATAGTAAGAAATAGCCTTACAATATAATTTTAGAAGATGACTACGCTGTAGAAAAAAGTAGTCGCTGGGGACAAAGTAACTCTAGCAATTCTTCTGCTTATAAGGATGCAGCAGTGGTTACTTACCCTTGCAAAAATAAATGCAAGCCTTTTTTAGAGCATTCTTTAACAGGGCGAGTACTTAACCCCTTTCTTATGTAACTTGTAAATTCGTACTAAGTTTATGTAAACGAGTTTCAAAGGTAAATCGGTAAGAAAACATATGAAATTCTACTGCATTGGGACAAAGGTATCTTGAATTCTTCAAGAAATCGAGAAAAGAAAATCTCGCGTCGTCCCATTAGTTAGAGATGGATAAAACTGTGAAATATTTCTCCCATCGATGAACATAGTTATTACCACGTTGATGTTCAGCGCTTAGCTTCTTCTTTCTTCCTTTTCTAGTTTTAAGACCTCAAGCCCTAAGATATGGAGATCAAAACAAGCTCTCAAAACTAGTTTCACTTGCACGCCTTGATCTTGTTTTAGGCTTCAATAGTTACTAATACAGGTTATCCCAAAAAAATGTGCCTACTGTTTGATTGCTAATAACCTCTCTTGTCAATGAGTCTTTCGAAAAGCTTTAGGTACCATTTTATAGAGCCGGCTTCAACTTAGGTTTACAGCATAAAACGAATCACCGAACTCGTTTCGTTACTGTAAGATTACTTTAGAAACTTTAAAATTTTGCGTCATTGAGGGTCATATTTTACCTCTAAAAAAGGAATAAAGAAGCTGAAAACTCTTGCACTAGGTTAATCGGGGTCGGCGATTCCAAATATGAAACTTGCACTTCACCGTAATGCTTTTTCGTATTTTACGTCAGATATAAAGTAACGACAAATCTTTGGTATTTGTCAAAAATTTGATTAGGCCATTCAAAAAGCCCCAACATGCAAAAGGTTATGTAGTGAAATCAGTATGCACGGAAACCTTGCTACACAAATTTTCTGATTTCTAAAAAATTTCGAACGAAACATCACAGTAATGAAGAAAGATCGGTAATTCGTTTCATCCTGCAAATCTAACTTCAAGCCAGCTCTGCAATATGGTACCATTCTTCCCGAAAGTTTTTATGACAAGAGAGTTATTAACAACTAAACAGTAGGGACATTTTTGGACACCCTGTATATGGAGAAAAGTTGACCTGAAATATGAGGTCAGTTCGATGTATGAACCAAGAAACCTCAAATCTATTCCAGTTGAACTACGAGTACAGATAGTTTGAAGCAAGCACTGACTTTTAAATTAGGTGCTATCAGACGGAGTATCCGTTGAACTACGTGTACAGATAGTTTAAAGCAAATACTGACGCTTAAATTAGCATGCTATTAGACGGAGTACAAAGATTGTAACGACGAGAGCTGTTATGCGTTCGGATATATGTGCCTTGACTTAAAACGTATACAGCTACGTTTAACACTCATAGGCAGTACATTTTGATGTAGTGCGCTCGCACTTTGGATTGTTATTTACTATCGAAACCGAATGGTTTTTACTAGCAAGAGAAAGACACCAACTTAAGTTGGCGATAAGACGATGTTAATATATGTATATCATTAGGCGCGTCTGTAAACGCTGATCTCAAATCTGCTTTCCTTTTTGCGGAACTACTTTCCGAAAAAAGTTATGAGCGTTCAAATGCCCAAGATCAAGCTTCAAGTGGCCATAAATTAGCGAAAAGCTGTACAAAAACATTTAGAAGTGTGTAAGCAATTTCGTTCCAAGTATATTGCCAGTAAGAAAGGAAGAAAGCGGTGAAAATTTACCTAGTGGTTTTTAGAGTTTTTCGCTAATTTTAGCCACTTAATGCTTGACAATTTTAAGAGTTCAACCGCCCACACCTTCTTTTGGAGAGTAGTCCCGCAAAAAAGGAGAGCAGATTTGGAATAAGTGTTTAGCGACGCATCTTGATATGCATATAGTTTCAATCCCAATTTATGTTGTGTCCTTACTTTGTAACAATATGAGAAGTATCAAAGCACGTCTGCAGTCGATTCAAGAAGCAGTTCCTCGAAATGTGAAATGAAAGGCACAAAATCTAACGTGCCCCATTTTGCATATTTGATAGCAACAAGACATTATCAGGCTTTCATCTTATAGAGGTTCCTATTTGCATGAAGCCAGGAGTATAAACATTGAGCTTATGTGTGGCGGCTCGGTGTGATCAGCACCTTCCGCAAGTGCTCGCCGCAGCTACACCTAATCCCTATTGTCCCCTACGATGTCGCGCGTCCGTCAAGGTTCGCGACGCCTTAACGGCCGCTGCCGAGGACTACCCCCTACAAGTATGAACGGCACAACAGATAGCGCGTAACGCTGAGAAAGAAAAGGACCGACTAATTCAGATTACATTTATCTACAAATATACAACAATAAACAACTAACACTACTAAACTACGAAAACTACAAAAAACTACTAAAGCTACCAAACTACTACTCTAAAATCAGGAAAAGTTAGGCACGGGACGAGCCGCCTTGTCCCGTGTTGCCGATGCTCGGTGATGATCACTCCAACGCGTAGTTCCGGGCTCTCCGCTGGGTCAACCGCAAGCCCCTAGCCCTTCCGGGACGGTGTGACCCCTCTCCACTCCCGCAAAACAAACCATGACATTTGGCTGCGCGTCTCCAAAACCAAGACGATGACAAAAGCTCAACCGCTCGAAACCGATGATCATCTGCGGGAGCTGCTGGAGGCGCTGCCAGCACGAACGATCTCATAAAACGATCAATACGAACGAAACTCGAAGAGGCGTAGACCGCGGCCTGCGCGCCCTTATATACCCTGTGACTTGGCAACGCGCCCAGCAGGAGAGGTCTTGGCGCGATCTTGAAAGCGCGCCAAGTAACGCGATAGCCAGCGCTCCCGGCCTCCGGTTTCGAGGAGTGGCTTGCATCGCGAGCCGCGACACTCCCCCCCCCCCCCCCCGAAACAGTGGACTTGGACGTTCGAATGGTGGTTACGTGATAGCGCTGGAGTCCACAACGGAGAACACCTAACCAAGTATAGCCAAAAAAGAAACGTCGCCATCGGCAGCACAGTAGGGGCGCGCGACAAAGGAAAATGAAAACTCGGCCCGTGCAAAAATGCAACACCTTCACAAGGGCGCTATCGCGCTCGAATACTTGATACAGTTCTACACCAATGCGCACGACGCGCCAACTAAACTATGGATGATAACGTAAAACAAAATACAGCTAGGAAAGATGGCAAAAATAGCTGAAAATCCACAGTTAGTGAAGGTGAAACAACTGATGTGATTTTTGGGCAGGTAGATGCGTTGGAGGTTGCTGTTGGTGGTGCCATGGAGCTAACAACAAAGTATGCGCGCTCAAACAACCACCGTGACCAAGTGTGCACAACCAAATGATACAATTCTGCAACACACATTATTTACGAGGTCAAAATCACACAAAATCGGACCATACATACCGAAACAATCCGCGTCCATGGTGGTGTTGACGCACTACCTACCCTAAGGTCCCATATTCCTGCACTCACGTCTGAAATGATGTTACCGAGGCGCGCGAGCGCTTCCTCCCATGCGCGATTGGGGACCTGATACATAGAGATAACAATGAAAAACACAATCGCACAGGCTAAAGATGTTAAAAAATGGACTTCAGTCCAGCCTCCCACGACAACGATGTTAATGCGCGGGCTCCTCTACGCAAACTGCACAAAGGCACACGGTTAGTAAATGCGCGCAACCAAAAAAGGGTAGCAAGCTCTTCCAATACCTAAAGCGCGTATGCGCAACGAAAGGTAAGATATACAAAACACGTAGACACTTACGCTTAACCTCGGTTGTTCCAAAAGAAACTTGCGCGTGCGTTGAAAAAATACCGGACGTTGGATACGGCGTAGAGGATATTGAACCTGGCTGGGTGAAGTCGAAGAGTGATTCGGGAAAATCCAAATCCGTGGCTCTGGCGCTGGAAATATATAGGCACAGAGAAAGTCATGATCGGGTAAAAAGGTCGTATCAGGGTAATTGACAAGTCCATGTAAACGATCAAGTGAATCGACAGCTAGTTTATTGAAAAACAAACACATAACACAAATGTCCACAGATTGAAGCAAAACCGATAGGCGCGTCCTCGCGCATACATCATACTACACACGTACAAAACAAAGGAATAACAAAGTAACAATGAACAACAAAACAAATCAACAAATAACAAATATAACAACTAACAGTAACAACATACGTCTATAGAATGATGACCTTCGCTATCGTTTTACTTCCACAGTTCCCGATGGTCTGATCCGTGTCTCCTTATGCTCATGTGCGTTC